GCTCCTTGTTCTGTGGGGAGCCTGCTTCTCCCTCTGCCTCTGCCTGCCACTCTGTCTGCCTGTGCTCGCTCGCTCTCTCTCTCTCTCTCTCTCTGACAAATAAATAAATAAAATCTTTAAAAAAAAAAAAAAAAAAAGAAGCTGCCTTCAGGGAGCCCCTGGGTGGCTCAGTGGATTAAAGCCTCTGCCTTCGACTCGGGTCATGATCCTAGGGTTCTGGGATTGAGCCCCAAATCGGGCTCCCTGCTCACCAGGGAGCCTGCTTCCTCCTCTATCTCTGCCTGCCTCTCTGCCTACTTGTGATATCTGTCTGTCAAATAAATAAATAAATAAAATCTTAAAAAAAAAAAAAAAAAGAGAGAGAGAGAGAGAGAAGCTGCCTTTGGCTCAGGTCATGGTCCCAGGGTCCTAGGACTGAGCCTTGCATCAGGCTCCCTGCTCAGTGGAGAGCCTGCTGTTCCCTCTGCTTGTGTCCTCTCTCTGTCAAATAAATAAATACATAAACTTTTAAATGCACAGATAAAACATAAATACTATGAAAGACTCCCTCCAAAAAAATCTCCCTTTCACATCACATCACACCAAAAAAATGAAGGAGGAGAATCAAGAGGGAAAAGCAGCAGGGAGTCTGAGCCTGGAATGAGGCAGATTTAATCAGCCATAAATGACCTTTCCCCGGCTTTCTGCCCTACCCACCTCCCGCCCCACAGGCCCAGCCAATGGACTCTTGGGACTAGGATCAGCCGCCTAGGATCTGATTGCTCCAAAAACAGCCACAAAGAACAGCCCAAACACAGGAAGCTGCCCCACCCCCAGCCTCCTCCAGAAATCTTTCCAGAATTACCTGCTTCAAGTGTCTCCTTTTCCTATCTATGTCCCCTCTCCTTATGCCGGGCCCACCCTCTTCACCCTCCTCCCCTGCTTCTCTCCTTACATAGAGTGTCCTCCTACAGATTCTATCTTTCTTTCCTAAAGGATTAGGGATCGGAGGGCCAGACTCAACCCCAGAAGATCTGGACAGTTTTCCTTCCAAGGGCCTTCACCAATCCAGGTCCTGCCAAGGTCACCTCCTTTTTTCTTCTGATCTCCAAGGTCAGTTTCTGTCCCTTCCCTCCACCCTCACTTTCAACAGTGACCAACATTCCTATTGCTCTTATTGAATATCAGGTCCAGTTCTCACTTTACATTTTTTAATTTTACTACAACCTACAAGGTAGTCAGTTAGCATTTTAAAAAGAGGAAAATGCACCCCTCTGTAGAGGTCCAGAGGAGCAGTCCTTTGCCCAAGGCCACATAGCTGGAAAGCAGCCGGGATATGAACTCACCTTCCGAAACACCATTCTCTCTGGGCTGTGAAATTTAAGTTCATGGCTCTTCCACAGCCCAGTGCCTCTCTCCCTCTAATCAAACTTCCAGCTAGACTTCTGCTGTGTGAACTTACTGTTAGCAGCATCAACCCAAGAGGATTCCGACCCTTTTGATAAGAATTAAGCATTTCTTGGGGGCACCTGGGTGTCTCATTCAGTTAAGCATCTGCCTTCGCTTAAGCGGCTGCCTTCCAATCAGGTCAGGACGGAGTCCTAGGATCAAGCCCCAAACCCGGCTCCTTGCTCAGCAGGGAGTCTGCTTCTCTCCCTCTGCCACTCAACCCAGCTCATGCTCCCTCAACCTCCCTATCTCGCTCGCTCTCAAATAAATAAGTAAAATCTTAAAAAAAAAAAAAAAAAGAAAGAATTAGGCATTTCTCAAATGTTACTCAGAAATGTGGGCAGGGTGCTTCTCCGCCTGGACCTCTCTAGCTCTTTTCCCCAGCAAATTTTTATACCTTATCTCCTCTGTTCAGTGACCGAAACAGACAAGGTCCTTTTTGTGACATTCGATCCAGGACACAAGATCAAACGACTTTGTTACGCCTTCATTTTAAAATCAGAACAGCAGCAAAGGAACAAAGAAATGCAGGACATTTTAAAAGCCCGCGCCGGAGAACCCTTTCTCTTTTTTTCTCCTTTTTGAAGGGGCAGAGGGAATCTTTACCAAGAAGAAAGTCTCTCCCTTGGACAGTTTCACTCTCCAATGCCTGCGAGGAAATGTTTCGCCTTCCTCCCGTGTCCCGGGTCCACGCAGCCTCCCGTGGGGATGAGTAGCAACTAAAAAGGAATCCCTTCCCTCTCCCCAAATTGTCTCCCTCCCTCCGGGCCCACGAAGGAGCTGCCTCACTTCTCTCCTGAGGAAGTGGAAGTCCTTCCCGAGTGTCTTCTCCGAGTAGTCCTCTCAGCCCCTGTCCCTTCTGCGACCGCCCCCTCTTCACTCCCTGCACAGACCCCCATATGGGAAGACGGTGTTGACATCCCTATTTTCCCTCAGGGAAAACTTCCCCAGGTACTCACAGATCTAGCCAGGCCCCGAGCCGCAGACCGCCGCAGGAGCAGGCCAGCCTGGCCCAAGCCTCGACTTGAGCCCCAGACTCTCGCTGCCGCAGCCGCCACCGCCACCGCCACCGCCACCGCCATTTTGGCTAACAACCCCACAGCGCTCCGCCCCTCTCCTCAACTAGGCTGGGGACTGCCCCTTTATGAACCTGATTCAACTGCTAGCACCGCCCTGCCAAGAAACCACAAGCTACTAATCCTGCGGTCTCTAGGGCACAGGTATGGGAGGGCCAAAAAATCTAGCTTTCCAAAATCACTCTGACCGCCTCATCTTAGTTGTTTCTGGAACAGGCAAAGAGGAGGACAACCTGACCGGAGCCCCAGAGCTTTAGGGCCCGGGGCCTCGGGTAGGATGAGCCCACGCCAATGCCCGCCCCATCTTCTTTACTCTCCAATGGCATTCCTGGACTTGCGGGGCGGGAGTAGGAGGAGCCAGATTGTTAGTAAACGCGGAGCCACGTGCGCGCGCGGGTCCTGGCAACCGGAGCGGCGCGTGCGCAGTGGATACGCAGCCTGTACGCAAAGGCGCGCTTTAGGGCGGAAGCGGGAGTCCGCGGCTGCACGTGGGCTTTGGGGCGGTGGAAGGGGAGATGCAGGCTGACGCCAAGATCCGCACCGAGTCCGGGACAGAGTCCGGCCCACGGGGCCCGAACTGTAGCCTCCGGCACTTTGCTTGTGAACAGAACCTATTGTCTCGGCCTGATGGCTCTGCCTCTTTTCTGCAAGGTAAGAACTTAACCTAGGTTAAGTAGTGCCCGAGCCAGGTTCGCCACGTTGTATTTGTTCTAGAAGGTCACAGTGCATCATGGAAAGGAGTGCCACCAGCTGATAAATGTCCCTCCTAGACTGGTGGAGTTCCTTTTACCTCGGGAGATACTACCGGATATGCCGGAATAATGTTCTCTCTCCCTCCCGACTACAAGAGAGACAGTCGGTATCTCCACCCTCGCAAATACTCGGTTTGAAGAGGGGCAGATCACCACTACCGGCCTCATTACTCTCTGGACGGTAGGATGTCTTCTCCCCAAGTAAATACTTTCAGATTTGAGAGTGATGTCCCCCTTCCTCCCGACCGGTGGGGTAAATATCCCTTTGACTGTGATACACATCTCTCCGTATGAGCCTCTCATATGGAGTTTGGGGCAGGTCTTACCTGCTGGGTAAATATCCCCTTCCCCTAGCCATATACATCTCAAATTAGACTCAACTCCCTGACCCAGGTAAGTATTCCTCTGGAGATAGGCCTAATGCTTGTCCCCATAAATGCTTCCGTTTCCTCACTAGGGGTATTGTCTTTTACCCAGGTACAAAACCTGTTTTCATTCGTTTCTTCATTGAACACACATGTATTTGTGCTAAGTACTGTTCTGGGCACTGGGAATACATTGATAAAAATATATGTATATTTTAATTCCTGATCTGACATTTTATGTTCTGGTCAGGGAGACAGACCAAAGATAACTAAGTAAAATATACAGGAAAACGCTATGGAGAAAAACATAGTAGGGAAGGGAAATAGGGCCTGCCAGAAAGGGTTGACCATCAGCAGGATGGTCAGGAAAAGCCTTGATGAGATGGTAAAGATAAGGGAGCAACCTGAAGATTCCAGGAGGAAAAACATACCAAGGATGGAGAACAGCGAGGACAAAGGCCCTGAAGGAAGGACCCTCCTGGTGTGTTTGAGGGATAGTCTGGAGACTGTGGCTGGAGCAATGAGGAGGCTGGGGAGAACCAAGGGCGATGGCATGTCATTTGAGGCCTGGTGAATGAGCTATGGGCCACTGCTCCCAAGTTTTGCTCAGAGTGGTGGCATGATCTTAATATATTTTAACAAACTCTCTCTGGCTGCAGTGTTGACTATAGAGGTAGGAGAAAGAAGGGGAGATGGTGGTAGCTCAGACCAGAGTAGAAGCAGTGGAGATGGTGAGATTAAGGGTGTATATTGAAAGTAAAACTGATATGGGGTGCCTTGGTGGCTCAGTGGGTTAAAGCCTCTGCCTTTGGCTCAGGTCATGATCCCAGGGTCCTGGGATCGAGCCCTGCATCAGGCTTTCTGCTCAGCAGGGAGCCTGCTTCCTCCTCTCTCTCTGCCTGCTTCTCTGCCTACTTGTGATCTCTGTCAAATAAATAAATAAAATCTTAAAAAAAAAAAAAAGAAATTAAAACTGGTAAAAATCTGCAGATGGTTCAGTGTTGGCGTGTAAGAAAGAGAGGGATAACACCAAGGTGTTTTTTCCCAATCAGCTGTACTGAGAGACTCTGAGGAGTTTATTTTGGAACAGTAAGTTTGCAGGGCCTGGTAGACATCACAGCGACCATATGGAAAGGGCAGTAGGACCTACAAGTCTGCAATTCAGAAGAGAGACCCCATCTGGACATACAATTTGGAATTCTCCGACTATAGATGGTATTTCATTGGATGAAATCACTTGATGAAAATAAGAAAACGAGCATAGACGGAAAAGAGAAGTCGTCACAGGACTCGACCTTGGCCCTCTAACCTGTGAGAAGCTAGGAGAAGAGAGAAGAGAGGTCAGGAAGGTAGGAGGAAAACCAAGAGAGGCCACTGACCTGGGGCCTGGAGAAGTGTTGTAAGGGCCCACCAGCTGCATCCGTCCTCCAGAGCTGTGGCTGGATGGTCTGGACGTATGTCATCCATGATGCTGTCAAGAGCTGCTCCGGTGGGGGCGGAGAAGAAAAAGCAAATTAGAGGTGTGTCTTTAGGAGCTTTGCTGCACGGGGCTCAGATACATGGGGGAGGAGTTGAAGATGGATGTGGGTCCAGAGAAGAGAGAATTGCAGGAGCCACGTCCGTGAGAACGTGACAGGGAGGGTCTGCCTAGGTTCATGGGGGCCACAGGCAGGTCCTCCAGCGTAACAAGAATGAAGACCACAATGTGGATCTCATTCTGTGTGGTTAAGTTCCCCTCTGAGGGCAGATTCCCCGGGAGCTGAAGAGAATCCCTGCAGCCTCCTCCTCCTCCCCAACCCAGGAAATGTGCCCGGATGCTGGGGACTTTCCCAGGCCCTCCCTGAGACTTAGCTCTGCTGCTTGATTCACATGCTTGGAGTTTCTTCCACATCAGAATTATTGAGGAGGGTAGCCCCTCCTGTGCTCTAAAACTCCCAAACCCCCAGGACCCGTGCAGACCGTGGAGAGTGTGTCCCACCCACTTATGTCCTCCACGGTTGTTAAATAGGTAGAGTCCCAGAATGCACCTTGCACCTGCCAAGGCTGTCATCACGTGTCTCCCCGCCACCCCTCCCCCTCCCACCCCACCCCACCCCAGGCATCTGTAACCACTGTGCGGATTCCGTGTTCTGTGTTTAGAAGCCTATGCTCCCACTCTGTGTTGCCCACTGCAGATTGTGGGCCCAGCTGCACGCTGGAATGACCCGTGGAACTCGGATACTCCCAGTGCCCGCGCCCCACCCCAGCAGTTGAGTTAGGATCCCTGGGGGAGGGGGTGGGTGTCAGGATCTTCTCATGCTCCCTGGTGATTCCAGTGTGCAGCCCGAGTTGAGAACCTCTAGGTTCATGGGGGCCACATGATGTTCCATAAGAACTACGTGTTCCGTAGTCTTTTCTTTTTTAATGGAATAGAGTAGGGCGCCGGGCTGGCTCTGTCAGTCCGAGGTGCGTGCGACTTTATTCCAGGGTGGTGAATTCGAGCCTCACGTGGGGTTTGGAGATCATTTAAAGATAAAATCTTAAAAATAAATAAGTAAAAAGTAAATTAACTGGAATAAAGTAGAAAGCGTCAGAGTGTGTCAGCAGCAACGGTAAGAGTTGTTTAGTGAGGCCTTTGTTGTGTTTAACATACAGACGTTTGCATGAGTTTGGAGTGGTGCCCATGAAATGTATTTTTATCTTGGGACTTACAGCGAGAAAGGTTTGGAAGCCACGGGTGTAGTCCAGCCTCTTCATTTTGCAGATGGCAAAACGGAGGCCCGGAGAAGTGAGCACCATCAGCCAAGTTTACAGGGCCAGCAGGAGGCAGACAGGACTAGAAGCCAGGCTTTTTTTTTTTTTTTTAGATTTTTTTTATTTATTTGACAGAGAGAGAGAGAGAAAGAGCACAAGCAGGGGGAGCACTAGGCAGAGGGAGGGGGAGAAGCAGACTCCCCGATGAGCAGGGAGCCCAATGCGGGACTTGATCCCAGGACTCTGAGATCATGACCTGAGCTGAAGGCCAACTGGGCCCCCCAGGCATCCCAGAAGCCAGGCCTTTACTCCCAGGTCTTACCTCCCTGGCCACTGTTCATGCCACTCAGGACCACTCCCAGGTTATGTCTCACTTTCTCAGAGGTCCCGACTGCTGCAGAGCTGGGGGACATGAGCCTGAGGGAGGACAGGTTGGAGGAAGCTTTGGAAGGAGTTGAGACCAAATGCAGTAAGGGGGAAGAAGGTTAGCTCATGGGAAGAACTTCCTGATCAAGTCAACAATAGCTAAAGTTGGTCATGCGCTGGGCATATGCCAGTGTCCGCAGTGGCTTACGTGGATTACCTCACCTAATCCTCACGATGCCGTGAAAGAGGCACCATTATCATCCCCATTTCATGTAAGGAAGCACAGCAAATGCTCAGAGAATCACTGCCGGCAAGTGATGGGCTGGACCGGGAGTGACAGGGGGCTTGGCGCTTCACTGGGACCCCCAAGGAAAGCAGGATGTGCCTGAGGCCTCCTCTGCTGTCTCCCCAGGGGATACATCGGTCCTGGCAGGCGTGTACGGGCCAGCCGAGGTGAAGGTCAGCAAAGAGATCTTCAACAAGGCCACCTTGGAGGTGATCCTGAGGCCAAAGATCGGGCTGCCTGGTAATCGGGCCCAGCAGGATCTCTAGCTTCTTCCTCGCCACTGTCCCGGGTGTCCTCCTCTCCCTTCTCCCCCCAACCCCAGCTCTTGGTGTCTCCCCCCAGCCTTTGTCTGTCCTACCTCCTCTTTCCTGGCTCCGTCTCCCCTCCTTTCCACTAACCTATTGTTCCACCAGGTTACTCACCCCCTCACTCCTGGGGCTGGGTTCACGGGGATGGGAGTGGGCAGCAGCAGGGGACAAGGGAAATCTGGGGTTTTCCTCCCCCAAGAGGCTGCCTTGCTGGATGCTGGAGGGGGCAGGGGTGAAGTGGGTATCAGTCAGGCCCTACCCCCTTCCCACTGGGGATCCTCTGTCATTCATGCAGGGTCCTGCACCAACCCTGGCGGACACAGGCAGGCCCTTTCCAGAGGGCTTGGGTGGGGCACATGGAGGAAGGTGAGCCAGGTGGAAGGGAAGAGGCTGACAGCCCCACCCCACCCCACCCCTGATTTCCCCAGGCATCTCGGAGAAGAGCCGGGAGCGGCTGATCAGGAACACGTGTGAAGCCGTGGTCTTGGGAACACTTCACCCCCGCACCTCCATCACTGTGGTGCTGCAGGTTGTCAGCGATGCTGGCTCTGTATCCTTTCCCCCAGGGCTGCCGCCTCCAGGAAGTCCTCCCTTGCTCTGTTACCCTTAAGGCCTCAAAACACTTGACAGTCACCCACTTGTTGAAGAACAGCAGACACAGTTTGAGCGCTTACCCTGTGTCGGGCACTGCTCTGAGTGCCTGACTTGTATTAACTCACTTAAATCCTCACAGCACAACGAACAGGTGCCACTATAATCCCCATGTTCCAAATGGGGAAACTAAGGCACAGCTAGGTCAATTCCTTTGAGCCCAAGCCATCTGCTCCCAGAGCCCAAAGGCTCCTGGCAGATGGGTGTTGTTGTGCTCCCATGTTGGAGGTGAGGAAGCAGGCCCCGAGAGGGAACGTCGCTTGCCCAGGGTCACACAGCTGGAAGGCAGCATTGGCAGAACTGCAGCCCAGGCCTGACTGCCTGCAGAGCCTGTGCCATTGGCCTCCGCTCTGACCAGGGGCGATGCTAGGGCCGTCCTGAGCAGGCAGAGTAGTTAGGTCAGCAGCCTGGCCTAGAAAGATCCCAGTGATTTGGTGAGAGGTTGGGGCCAAGGACCAGAATTGGGCATTTCTAGAGGGGCTTCCTAGAAGAGAAGTAATAGAGGGACAGTGGCGGAGCTGGGACTGACTGACCCTGAAGCTGGACCCTTAGCCGCTGTGATGGGGCTGGGGACAGAGACTAGAGGAAACTGAAGCAGGACTGGCTGTCTGGCTCCTGGCCCGGGCTTGCCTCCGCCATGCTACAGCCAATCCTCTCCGCTAAAGATGACTGCTCCTCCCTCTGTCACCTCGTGGTGGCTACCTCCAGGTCCCCAGGCTTCAGGCCTGGCCCTTCCACTACCTCCTCATGTGATTGTGGGAGGTTCCTCCCCTCCTGCCCTCAGTTTCCTGAAGGTGCTTGGCACGTGCTTCAGGACAAATCTGTTGAGTATCATTAGGACCCCCGATTGAGGCTCAGAGAGAGTAAGTCACTTGCTCAAGCTCACACAGCTGAGAGGTGCCAAGAGCAGGTCAGGAGCCCAAGGCTGCTTGGTCCCAAAACCCCTCAGAAGCACTGTGCCCTGCTCCCTCACTGTGATCAGTCAGTGGAATCGGCCACAGGCACTGGCAGGGTGCTCTGCAGGCCACCCCCATCACGGGAATGCTTCTTAACCCTGCCCTGTGGCACCCAGCTCCTGGCCTGTTGCCTGAACGCCGCCTGCATGGCATTGGTGGACGCGGGGGTGCCCATGCGGGCCCTCTTCTGTGGCGTCACCTGCGCTCTGAATGCGGACGGGACCCTTGTGCTGGATCCCACGGCCAAACAAGAGAAGGTAGGTCTGAAGGCCGGGGCGGTGAACGGCTGTGAGCAGACACTCCTCCTCTCGGCCTCGCTTCCCTGAAGCACTTGGCTCTTATCACGTCGGTCCGGTTGGCAAGCCCTGGTCTGTTCATCAGCACAGGTGCTAGAACCCCAGCTCAGACCCAATATAACAGTGGTCCAGCTGGAGCCAGGGTCTCAGACACTGTAAGGATTTCCTCATCTGGCTTCTCATTCTCTGCAGTCTTATGCGTTTTGGTTCTGTTCGGTTCCATTCGCTAGCCAGCATCTTGCCCGAGGCTGGGACCAGCCCCTAGAACTCCATACTTTCCTCACCAGCTCAAGTTCACAGCGCCCAGGGTTCTGGCTCTTCCCAGATACTCACCCTGTACTGTGATGGGTGCGTCCCATCAGGAAAGCCGAACACGCCTGAAGTATTTCAGACAGAATTTCCTGCAGGAAATGGGTCAGAATCTTGTTGGAAGAGCCAAAGGGGCAAACAGGAGAGAGGGCCATACCCAGAGGCTAGCGGCCTATAGGGTGCTCGCCCTCTGCACTGTTGGGAGAGGCTGTCCACAGTTGGGTCTGGGCACTCACAAGGCGTCCTGGCTTGGCCCTGGCAGAGGAAGTCTGGAGACAGCCTCCTCCCCTCCCTGCCAGCCTCCTCCCCTCCACAGCTACTGCGGGAACTGCCACAGCCCCTGCTTCTGTCAAGAGTGAGGACAGGACGCAGCCCTCCCTCCCTCAGCCTCTCCCCCAGATTATCGGGGGCACCTAAACAGGAGAGTCCAGGGAGTGTGGGAAACAGTCTGCCAGCTTCCAGCCCTGGTGGGACAGAGGTGGGAAGGGGTGCGGGGAGCCGAGAAGTACCCACCGATGACTGGCTGTGCAGCTGTCCCCCGTTGGAAGCCCCTGTTGGAAACATGCGGGTGACATCCGGGGGTGGGAAGCAGTTCCGCAGAAGGAAGGCCCAAGGGCACTGCCCCGGGAAGCAGATGGTGCACAGACAAAACACCTCCACCTGATACCCTAGAGACTGCAGGCTGGGGGAGGGGCACGTTCCCTCCTTGGGGCCCGCTGAGACTGCCCAATGCGAGAGTCTAGGCATCCTACCTCTCATCCCTAGGAGGCCCGGGCTGTCCTGACCTTGGCGCTTGACAGCGTGGAACGGAAGCTGCTGATGTCCACCACCAAGGGGCTCTACTCCGATGCTGAGGTACTGAGGGTAACCAGATCCCTCCCTCCTGGATGTGAGGTCTTGTCGGGACCCTGGGAGGTGGAAGGAGAGCCCCTTCCTTATATCCCTTCTATGTGTAGAAGGCGTTTTCAAACGTTGTAGGCACAGAAACCCTTGTGGGAATTTGAAAGGGAAGCCCCAGTCACGAGAGCAGAGGAGGAGAGCACCTCAGGTTGAGATCGGGAGGTGAGGCATCTCCTGCTCAGAGCCGCACACTCCCAGAATCCCGGCGCTCTGCTCTCCCAGACCACTTCGACCTGTTCCTCCTGTGAGCCTAGGAATGTGTGGTGCATCCCAGATTCCACAGCTTCCAAGATGATCTGGCATCACAGGGCCGGTGGCTCAAAAATTCTGTATCTCCAGCTGGAGCTGGGCCAGGCTGAGGCCTCTCACAGGGGTCAAGATGCCTGATCCCACCTGTCCACACTCCCAGAGCTACCAGAATTCGACCCCTGAAGTCCTCCCCTTTTTCTCAGTTCCGCCTCCCAGAAAGAGCCCACCAAGTGGGGAAGAAAGAAAGGCCTTGGAAACAATCCCCTGGCCACTTGCCTCACTGCAGGGGAAGCAGGAGGTCTGGGGGCTCTGGGAAACAGCCGGGGTCAGGGCAGGCTGTGGGGTCGGTTGGGGGGGTGTGCGGGAGCAGGGAGGTCCCAGTACCACCAGCTCTCTCCCCGTCTCCAGCTCCAGCAGTCCCTGGCTGCGGCCCAGGCTGCCTCGCAACACGTGTTCCGCTTCTACCGGGAATCGCTGCAGAGGCGTTACTCCAAGAGCTGAGACAAGCCAGGGCAGGGCGCCCTTCCCGCCACCGCTGCCGCCACCCACTACCTCCATGGAAAATAAACCAGCAGCCGGCCTCGCCTCTCAGTCCCTGTGCACCTGGATGAGCTTGTGGACCTTGGGGCACGGACCCACCCTGGCCCCCCAGGAAAGCATTTCTGACCTGGGAACCCCTCCCATCCCCACCTGCCAGTCCAACAGATACCTGTGGGGTGCCCGCTGTGTGCAGTCCTGCTGGGTGCAAGACTCCGGGGTGAATGACGCCCCCCCCCCCAAGTCCCAGGTTCAAGGAGCAGTAGGGTGAAGGGGAAAGAAAATCGGTGTTGGTCGGGTGGTGGTGAATGCTAAGAAGAAAGCAAAAAGCAGGGAGGAGGGGTTTGGGGAAGACGTCTGCCGGGGGTGGGGTGGGGTGAGGTGGGGGTGCATGTAAGGGAAGTCCTGGGAGGAGGCCTACAGGACATGCAGCACCAGCAAGGCTCCCCTGGGGCTCCCGTGATGGCGGCTGGAGCAGCGAGATGGGTCAGGGGCAGAACAGGCACAGTGGTGAGGCCTTGTGGGTCTTGGCATCCCTGTCCTAACCTGAAGAAACAAACTCAGAAGCCAGTGAGCTGCCCCATGTCACCAGCTAGTCCGTAATGGGGCAGGGTGGCCTCAACCCTGGAGTCTGGGGAGACACCAGCACCATCCTGACTGCAGTTCCCCACTTGTAACCGGAAGTGGCTGGGGCCCATTTCTCAGTGGGTGGTAGCACTCTCCAGGATGTATGGAAATATGGGGGGGGTTAGTTGCCCTTTGACCACTGGGTTCCCCCACCCCTGTATTTAGCGGGAAGGAGCCAAAAACATGAGCACATCGCCTGAGGAGTAAGTGTCCCACAGCTGGGCCACATGGTCGCCAGATTCTGTGGGGCACTGACATTTGGGGGTTTACGGTGAAAATTCTATGGCAGGCCCTCTGCTGCGTGCTTCACATGCTTGAACTAGTTCACACAGTTCCCACAATTGCCCCTTGGAGCCTGTGTCATTTTCGTCCCCAGTAACCAAGAAGGAGAAGCATCAGAGTCTTTAGCTTGAAACTCTGCTCCATGAGACTCAGGAGAACACCCAATGAGAAAGTGTTTTCTTCTAGTTAAGATCCACTGGAGTGGTATTAAACTGAGAGAGCTAAGCCGCCTGTCACGCCATTACTTGGTCATCTCTCAGGCCCACTCTGTGAGCACTCCTGTACCTCTGGGGAGCGCTCAGGGTCCGTCTGGGGGGGGCTAGCACCCCAGTACCTTAAAGCTCCAGCATTCCTGGTCTCCGGCCAGCCGTGTGATTCCCATGGAGTCCCTCAGCTCCTGGGGCCATCTTTCTCCCCCAGAAGCCTGCACAGAATGAGGCCGACAGGAGAGGAGAGCCAAGAGATGGAGACCAGGCTGCTTATTTCATCCGAGCCTGAGTCCGGTTTCTGCTGCCGGCCGTGGGAAGAGCTCAGAGGGATACTGCCCTTCACAGGTGTCACCCATCTGGTCCTCCCCAGGGGTGGAGAAAGGCCCCTTTTGGAGAAGGGAAAATAGAAGGCTCAAAGAGAAGTCACTTGGGCCAAGGTTGCAGAGCTAAGGAGAAGTAAACCCTTGGAACCTGGGGTAATTCTCCACAGGCCACGGTGCAAGGAGAACATTCTGCAATTTGGGAACCCTCTGCCCCATGGATTCGCCCTTTTCCAGCTCCAAGGTCTCTGGGGATAGCCTGTCGTCACTGGCCTCATGTCCCTTCCTGGTCTCCCCAAGCTCCCTCCTTCCCCTCCGCCCCCCTGCCCCAATACACACACACAGGTTTGGCTGCGAGAGTGGCTGGAGTTTAATCTCACGCTGCGGTGGCCAGGAAGGAGGGTTCTGCCGCTGCCGCCGCCTCATCCACCCAGATTCTCCACGTTGCCAGCGGCGCGCCTGGATCCCGGCCCCTGATTCACAGTGGGGGCGGCAGGGGCAACTAGGGCGGCTCTCGGGAGGCCAGGTAGGCGGCCAGGGTCACCAAGGCAGCCGCATATGTGCACACGCCCAGCCCGACTGCGAGGACCCCCAGCAGGAAGGCTCGGCGGGAGGCAGCCCCTGCCCCCTGGACGTCCCCCTTGGCCCAAGCCTTGTTGGTCTGTGGAGGCGTTGGGCAGCGGTGACTCAGGCATCCCCGCTGCCCACAGCCCCAGACCCTTGTCCTGAACCTGCCCCCACCGGCACACCCACAGGCTCATTCAGAGATTCCAAAAACAGGGAGCAGCCACTGTGGGCCACGCACAGGGGTGCCCGGGTGGCTAATAAAAATAGACCTCTCTCTCGGTGCCACCGTTCGAACTCATCTGAACCTCACGATGACCCAGAGGTAGGAATTATTCCCGTTTCACAGGTGAGGAAAATGAGGCCCAGGGAGGTTAAGTGGCTTGCCCAAAAGTCTTAACGGAGTGTGTCAGGCCTAGGAATTTGAGCCCAGATTCCTAACCACCGCTCTGGGCTTCCACTCTGAAACACTCGTTTTACCTTTCCATGTTTCTATGCAGGTCCTTCTCTCCACTTTTGCCCCCCACCAACGCATAGCACTTCTGTTTTGTTCTGAATACACTTTCCCCTTAGATCCAGCCCTACCTACCCACAGACTGACCTTCTGGGCCAGGCAGAAGGCTGCGATGCCCACGGGCCAGAAACAGCAGAGCATGGAGAAGACAGCCAGCCCGAGGTGGTCGTGGGGTAGGAGCGGGGAGAGAAGGCTGCCCCTGTCCCAGTCCGAGTCGCTGTCACTGGATGATGGGTCCTGTGGGCAGGAAAGGGCCTGAGTGGGCTTCTCCATCCACCTTCCCTGCCCCACCACTCTGCTCCCCATTACCCCCAAGGACCAATACCAGGGCCTCCCCAGAAACACCAAAAAGAAGAAAACATTCCAGGAGATAGGCTCTTAACTTTCTACAGCCTGGATCCCCTTGAGGGGAAGCAGTATATCCTCTCTCCAGAGAAGAACCCCCATCCACACCCAAAGTTTTATGTTCAATTTCAAAGACTTCACAGGTCCCATCATGATAGTACAATTTCAGAGTTACGAGTGGAGGCAGATGGGATGCCTGGGTGGCTCAGTGGGTTGAGCCTCTGCCTTCACCTCAGGTCATGATCTCAGGATCCTGGAATCAAATCCCGCATCGGGCTCTCTGCTTGGCATAGGGCCTACTTCCCCCTCTCTCTCTGCCTGCCTCTCTGCCTACTTGTGATCTTTCTCTCTGTGTCAAATAAATGAATAAAATCTTTAAAAAAAAAAAAAAAAAGAGAGAGAGAGAGTGGAGGCAGACACCACCAGGGACAGGAACTGGCAAAAAGTTGGAGTCCAAGAGAGATGGCTTTGGGGGCCTATGTTTCTAGGAAAAACCTACCAGCTCAAAACTAATTCTAGATTTAAAAAAATTTTTTTAAATCTTGCATTAAACAGCTCATAAGATTTTAAGCAATTCTTAAAAGGCCCAAACTGCAATCAAAATCCAAGTTAGCAGAGAGGTCAAACAAACAGAAAAGGCCTCTTTTGCCCTGAAGCCAACTGCCAATCCCAGAAAAATAACCTCTCAACCCAACCGTGAACTAGATGAAAAGTGATCTCTACCGGTAGTGCCCACAGGCAGCTGGCAAGCAAACCAGCTCCTCTCAGAGAAAGGTACGTACCTTCAGTCTAGGCCTCAACAATTTTTCCTAAAATAGCTTTTCAACTGTGATGACCAGCATACAGTCTAAAGATAACCAGGCACACAAGAAACCCTAAAAGACCAGAAATAATAAGGCCCTCCCTCCAAATCTACAAAGAATGGAATTATCAGACACAGAACGATGTCAAAGTGACCCTGTCTCGCTGTGGCAGACGGTGTTTCCAAAAATGGCCACGACCATCTCTCATCCCACATGCTCCTCTCACAGTGTGACTGATATACTCTTGCCACCAAGGGGTGAGGTCTGTGTCCCCTCTCCCTGAGTCTGGGCAGGCTGTGACTCACTCATAATTGGTAGAATGTGGTGGAAGTAATGCCACATGACTTCCGAGCATAAGTCAGAAAAGGTGAGGCAGTTTCTGCCTCGCCAAAGCACTCGTGCTGGAGGCTGGAGGTACAGAAGGACGCAGACCATGTTGCAGCTGCCATGTTGTGAGGAGGCCCAAACCAGCCCATGAGGGGAGCCTCAGACAGAAGCCCCAAGACTACATTAAGAGAGAGACACCCACCCAGCCCCCAGCTCCTTCAGCCCCCGGACTGTTCCAGCTCCAGCCACCGGCTGACCCACAACCTCATGAAAGACCCTGAGGCAGAACCGCCCAACCCAGGCCCTCCCAGATTCCTGCCCCATGGAAACCATGAGCCATAATGATTGTTGCTGTTTTAAGCAACTGAGTTTTGGGGTGATTTTTTATGCAGGAATAGTAACCGGAAAACTACGTGTAAGAAATAAAAGATGAGTGGGTGGGGGGGGAGTCTGGCTGCCTCAGTCCATGGAGCGTGCAACTCGTGATCTCGGGGCCGTGAGTTCGAGCCCCACGCTGGGTGTAGAGATTACTTAGAACCTTTTTAAAAAATAAATACATAAGTATGACAAACTTCACAGTGTATACAAGGAACAAGAAATTATCCAAGTTAACACAATAATTTGGAAGAAAAAAAAAAGCAGGAGCAACACAGAGAGAGAGAGGTGGAAAGACAGAGAACAGAGGAGCCAGAAATCAGAGGGAAGACAGAAAGCCAAAGGTGCGGGAAGAAAGATGAGTGACAAATCTGGAGAGAAAAGAGTGAAGAAACCAGGGGAGGCACAGAACAGGCAAAACCACCACTGGACATCTAGGAAGTCCCCACACAGTTAGGAAGTGAGACTCCAGGCCGAAGGTAGACACCCCAGCCTCCAACCTACCTGGGGTTCACCAGAGCCCCATTCACTCACCTCCAATCCCTTCCCCCAGATCCCACTAAGGCCTGCTGCTCCTACCTCCAGGTCAGGGGTTCCCAGCTCCCCAAGACCAGCGCTCACAGAAGGAAGAGGTGGCGGTAGGAAGTGCCAATCCCCCAGGGACTCCGCAAAGGCTGTCTCTCGAAAGGGAGGCCCCAGCTGAGGTTCCCCAGGCTTCTGGATGGGGGGCCCACAGCCCACGCCCGCCAGCAGAGGCTGTTGGAGCTCTCGAAGACTGGGGCTGTCCATGGCTGGGGAGAGGCTCCCGGACGGGTTTCCTAAAGGTAGAGGAAAGAAAAAAGACATGTTCTAAAAGTCTCACCATCTTTCCCCTGACTCCTGACTCTAGAGAGATTGCTGGCAGAGGCTAGTTAGTTCACTGACCCTCAGACTCATTTGCCAGAGACTAAAACTGAGGCCCACGGAATAAAAGAGGGCCTAGCTATGAAGAGAATTCACCGGGTCTAGACATTCAATTCTGGGATTCTGTCTCCCGAGGCAAAACCACATACCTGTAGCGCACTTATTCCAAACCACACGTTGCACACTTACTTGCCCCATGAACTACACATCCCCTGTGTCAAGTCTGCACCCTGAATACCCACGTCCACGGCTGCACATAGTCAACCAGGCAAGCCCAACCCCCACCTCCAGGCACTCATTTCCCAAAGGGCTCCTTGCAAACTTGCCCTGAACAACATCAGCTCCCATTAAATACCTCTGGAGCCCCCAACCTTCTTACACACTCATTCTGAATGACTCCTTGCACACCCCGAATCCCCCCAGCATCAGATCCCCTATTTGCACACATAAGAACAGGCTTCCCACGCATGCATTCCACTCTCCCTTGTTCCCATCACTTACTTCCCTTGCACACCTGCCCCAAACACCCAGTCTACGCATCCCTCCCCTACCCCACCCACATGCACCCCGGTACACAACTGCCTGCACCCCCACCAGCTCCCCTATGCCTCCTGCTTTACCAGAACCCACCTCTGCTCCATTCCCCCATAACAGCCCCAACCCACCACACTCACACATGCTCAAACACAAGGAATGTTGCCACCCCACGATCCCCCCCTTCCCGTGGGGCCTCCCAAGCCTCCCGCCCTCATTCCAAACCTGGCTGGAGCCGATCTCCTTAACAAGGGTTTGCCTCCCCATCCCCAACACTAGGAGCCAGTGGAGGGGCCGTGCCGCCCACCTGTGCCCCTCACTCACCGCCCACAGCCATATGTCGGGACTTCCTGGGCCCCTGCACCGACACCCGCCCCGACCCTGCGGCCCGCTGGTGACACGGAACTCAGCTCCCCGGGATCCCGGGCCTGGGGGCGCGGGGTCTGCGTTTTCCGCTGAGCTCCCCTCTCCACGCCCCAGGCCCGCAGCGCGCGGGGGCGGGGATGGGGGCGGGGCGGCGGGCTCCCGACTCCGCCCTCCGCCGCTGCCCGGGTGGGGGCCTTGAAGGCCGACGTCAGTGCCCAGCGCTGAAACCCTGCTACCCCAGGTGTGCGGGAGCCATCGTGGGGCTCCGAGGACGGCGGACCCTGACCGTCCTCCCACCCCAGCCCAGGCGCAAGAGCAGCGCGGCGGAGGAGGGGGCGCCCCCGATTCTCCAGGGCCTTCCTGGCTCGGCCCCGCCTCCACACCCGCCACTCTGCTTGCCCAATACTAATAACAGCAACGGCGGCTAACTGCGTGCAGTGGTCTGAGCGCTGTGCATGGGCACGCACACGATTCCTCAGCACTGCCGAAGAGGCCCCGTCATGCACTGTCCTGTGTGGCTCGCAGCGGGGCAACAGGCGCAGAAATGCCGGGGACTTGCCGGCGCACACGCCGCCGGTTCACTGAGCGCGGACTAAGCCCGGACCCCTGGCCGCTGCCTGAGACGCTCTAAAGTCACCATCGCATCGATTCTTCTCGGCAGCTCTCTTTCTGTCTCTGTTTCACAGATAAAGTGAGGTTCAGAGGCGTGTGCTCGCTTGCCCGAGGTAAACGACTGGTGCTAAGACTGGCAGATTGCATCCCAGGGCTGCATTCGTTGCTGGCCCGAGGGAAGGGGAGGAGGCAGGAGTGGGGGAGGGGGGCGGGGCAGAAGGTGGGGTGGGAGCTTTGGAGGCGGAGGAGGGAGTGGACCGGGGATAGGGTGATGTGCTGGGTACAGGTGGTACGAGCCGCGGTCATCAGTCAGTGTTGGGACCCACACAGGCCCTACCTCTGGATAATGGCATCACCTCTCTGAACCCTCTTTCATCTGTCAAATGGGCGCCACGCTCCCAGCCTCTCGGATGTACATGTGATCACATACACAGAACAATAACCAATGTTCCACATTCCCCGAAGCCTGGCAAGGCAGGCGCCTGAAATATATTTGATGATGTTTGTGAATATCATTATTCACTGCTGGCTCCATCAGTCTGAATAGGGACCCTCCTCACCCTCTCCCTCAGGGAGCCCACCAGGTTTGCACAGGCTTCTCCCTCCCAGAGGCCCTCCATCTCACCCATCCCAGTCAGCCAAACTGGAGGATTCCCCTCCTGATGTGGGGCTGGCCAGGGTTCCCTTGCTCCGGGGCTCCAGGGCTCCAGGGCTCTGTGCCAAGAGTCCAGACGCTGGAGCTGGCACGGGCCCCACTCCTGGGGAGAACAGATGGTGTCTGTGAGTGCACTTGGCTCAGCCAGGGTTTCTGGCAGAAGACAGGCGGGGAAACCCACCGGAGGGCAGACGAGAGGGACCTGGAGCCAGGTTGCTTTATCTGGGAGAGATAACCTGTCACTAGCTCCTTAACTTGGCTCTGGTTCTTTTTTTCATACAGCTTATCACTACGAAACATATTCCATATTTCTGTCACTGGTAGTGTGAATCCTCTCCCCCATCAGTATCAGCTTCAGGAAGGCTGGGATTTGATCTGATCGCCTTTGTTCGCTGCTGTGCCTCAGGGCCTAGAACAGTGCCTGGCACAAAGTCGCCCTTCAATACATATTTGTAGGAAATACGGGCGGGGGAGCGTGAATTCCCACCAGCCTGTTTTCCACCAAATCTTGGAGCACTTTCTACTATCACTTGGCATATCCTACGGCCCAGAAATTCCACTCCAACCAGACGTGAATGTATGTCCACCACAAAGCAGATTTCCTGCGATGGATGGGGTAAATAAGTTGTAGCATCTTCACACCAAGGAAACTACGCAGCAAAGAAAAGGAAAGATCTACAGCCACGTGCAACAGTGTGGATGAGGCACACAACTGAAATGCTGAGCAAAAGATGGGAGACACAAAACAATACTTAAATGGTGTGATTTCATTTATATAAAATTCAAAAGCAGGCAAAATTAAGCCGTGTTGGTAGGGGCCCAGTGAGTAGTTACCCTCGGGCCTTGGGGGCACTCTAGGGAAAAGTCATGTTCTTCTCTTGAGCTCACTTGTGATTATCAGGTGTGTTCCGTTTCTGGAATTTAATCCCATTGTTTGCTTATGATTTATGTCCCTTTTCTGTATCGAGATTATACTTCAAAACAGTTTAAAAAAAAAAAAAAAAGTGAGTTGGCTCTCTACAGACTGACCTGGGTAACTTTCTAAGATGTTATCACTGAGGGGAAAAAAGCAAGATCTAAAACAATACCTACAGTTGCTATGGAAAACAGTATGGCAGTTCTTCTGAAAATTAGAAACAGAGTTACCATATGACCCAGCAGTTCTACTTCTGGTTACTTACCCTGAAGAACTGAAAGCAGGGTCTTGAAGAGGTCCATGTTCATAGCAACGTTGTTCACCATAGCCAGAAAGATGGAAGCAATCCTAGGGTTCATCAGCAGGTGTCTGGATGAAGAAAATGGGGTATCTATTTATAATTCAGCCTTAAAAAGGAGCAAGAAGGGGTGCCTGAGCCATCGTGACCTGAGCTGAAACCAAGAGTAGGATGCTTAACCATCTGAGCCACCCGGGGGGCCCCAGGGACGTTTTTCTTTCATGGGTACAGAGTTTCAGTTTTGCAAGATGAAAAGAGTTCTAGAGATTGGTTGCATATTTATGTGAATGGACTTAATGTCATTGATCTGTACACTTAAAAATGGCTAAAATATAACACCTATGTTATATATCTTTTACCACAGTTCTTTTAAAATTTAAAAATACCAAGTAGTTAAATATTCAGTTTGCTTCTTGGAAAAAAAATGTAAAATATCCTTGTTTTTAAAAAAAAGAGATGTGAAATATTCCATTTCAGTAACAACACCACCAACAAAATGAGATCATGACCTGAGCCAAAGGCAGAGGCTTAACCCACTGAGCCACCCAGGCGCCCCCTGGAGCATGAGATTCTTGATCTCAGGACTGAGTTCAGGCCCCACCTTGGGTGTGGAGATTAAAGAAATAAAAACTAAAATAATAATAATAATAAGAGTAATTTAAAAATAATAATAATAAAAGGCATATCAAAGAACCTGTGGACAGGGGTGCCTGGCGGGCTCAGTCGGAAGGGCATGCCACTCTTTTTTTTTTTTTTATTTGACAGAGAGAGAGAGATCACAAGTAGGCAGAGAGGCAGGGGGTGGGGGAGCGGAAACAGGCTCCCCGCTGAGCAGAGAGCCGGATGTGGGGCTCTATCCCAGGACCCCGGGATCTCGACCTGAACTAGAGGCAGAAGCTTTAACCCACTGAGCCATCCAGGCACCTCAAGGGCATGCCACTCTTGATCTCCAGGTCATGAGTCTGAGCCCCACAGTTGGGCACAGCACTTACTTAAAAAGAAAGAAAAAGAAAGAAAGAAAGAAAGAAAGAAAGAAAGAGAGAAAGAAAGAAAGAACGAAAGGAAGAAATGAATCTGCAGGCATAGTTTAAAACAGATTAGATGATATTAAATCATCCAATCTTAACAACAGTCCAACAAGGTGGGTCCTATCATTTGTCCTCACATTACAGAAAAGAAAACCAAGGTTCAAAGAGGTTATTGGTCACACAAAAGGGGCCGAGCCAAGGCTTGAATCCAGGTAGTTGACCTGGGAACCATTTCTGTTATCACTAATATCAATCAGTAGGGAGAAAACCAATTAAAGAGAAAATATTTAAGAAGGAGCACTGCAGTGGGGGGCGGGGGGGTTGCCTGGGTGGCAAGTAGGTTAAGCCTCCACCTCTTGGGTCTGACTTATGACTCAGGTCATGATCTCAGGGTCCTCTGTCTCCTCACTCAGCACAGAATTGGCCTGGGATTCTCTCTCTCTCTCTCTGTCCCTCCCCCACTCACTTTCTCTCTCTCTCTCTCTCTCCCTCTCTCTAAAATAAATAAATCTTGGGGTGCCTGGGTGGCTCAGTGGGTTAAGCCTCTGCCTTCGGCTCAGGTCATGATCTCAGGGTCTTGGGATCGAGCCCCGCATCAGGCTTTATGCTCAGCAGGGAGCCTGCTTCCTCCTCTCTCTCTGCCTGCTTCTCTGTGATCTCTGTCTGTCAAATAAATAAATAAAATCTTTAAAAATAAAACAAAATAAATAAATCTTTTAAAAAAATGAAGGAGCATTTACAGGACTTGACTGTTTAGATGTAGTAAGTGATGGAGTCTTGGGTGACACCCAGGCACAACCTCCATATTCCTTTAAATACTGAAAGACATGCATCCAAGAAAGGAAGGACAGCAGAGAGGTTAAGAACATATGGTTTAGGGACACCTGGGTGGCCCAGTCCGTTAAGCATCTGCCTTCAGCTCAGGTCATGATCTCAGGGTCCTGGGATGGAGCCCAGTATCAGGCTCTCTGTTCAGCCGGGAGCCTGTTTCCACCCCCCCACCCCCGCCCACTTGTGATCTCTGTCTGTCAAATAAATAAAATCTTAAAAAAAAGAAAAGAAAAGAAAAGAAAAGTATACAAGGTTTAGGGATAGAGTTAGACAAAACTATAGTTAATTTAGTTTAAGGTAAATGATTTTGCCCTAATTTCTTCATCTTAAAGAAAGCTGATAATACGGGCTCCTGGGTAGCTCAGTGGGTTAAGCCTCTGCCTTGGCTCAGGTCATGATCCCAGGGTTTTGGGATCAAGCCCCACATCAGGCTCTCTGCTCAGCAGGGAGACTGCTTCCCTTCCTCTCTCTCTGCCTGCCTCTCTGCCTAATTGTGATATCTGTCAAATAAATAAAAACTTCAAAAAAAAAGAAAGAAAGCTGATAATATTAACCACTCTGTGGGATGTCTGAGGATTAAACAAAATCATGCAAAAACGACCAGCTTACAGGGTCTGGCACAAAAAAATACTCGCTAAATGGTAGCTTACAAATAGATCTCTTAGTGAAATGTAATCCTATTGAATTATTTATATAAATACTATCCTATTAAAATGTCCCCTCCTTGTAATTTTGAACATTTTTTTCCTACCTTGCTAAAAAATAGGAAAATGTGGAAAATACAGACTAGGGTTCAAGTGGTTTTAGAAGGTGGGGAAGGCGCAGTGCTCAAGAAATCACAGGCAGCGCCTGAGTCAGTCGCTACTTGCACCCATTACACAGATGCATTAACTGAGACCTGGAGCCGTGCAGGGTCACAGGACAAGTTACTGGCAGGGCCCAGCCTTCAACAACCAGATTTTCTGCAGATAAAGGGGCCTCAGTTCCTCATTTCTCATACTCCTTCCCCCACGCTCCCCCTCTTTGCTAAGAATAAGTACTAATAGTGAACTGGGCGGTAAGGAGAAGGAAGTTGCATTTATCATCACTTGAGGAGCCACGGGAAACTGAAAAAAGGAAGGAAAACCCCCTCCCAAACTTGACTCTCTCTGAAGGAGGAAGGATTTTTTTTCTCAAGATAAGACCTCGGGATGCAAGCAGTGACCATAGGGAGCTTCTCCCTTGGTCCTGGCTCAAATCCCTGATTGTGGTCCCGGCTGGAAGAGAGTTTCAGGAGGCTCACAGCGTGGAGGGCTCCGCTTATTTTGTTAAGAAAGGGGTCCTGGAGAAACAGTTGGCGCGCAAACTTCTTCAGCCACACTCAAGATGGCAGCTGCCCGACCACGCCCCAAATGGCGGAACCACGAGTCCGGCTGGGAAAGACGCTTTTCCCAAAATGGAGAGGGGAGAGAAAACGTCCATCACATATTGGCCCCGCCCCCGCCAGCCGCTAGGGCCAATTAGCGGATGGCAAGGCGGGTGCCAGATTAGGAGAGGAGGCTGCTGTTTCCCCAGCAACAACCTGGGAGCTCGAAGGCGGGCGCAGCCTCGGAAGGGTCCGCGCCTCGGGTCTCTCGCTGCCAGGAAGATCCTGGGAGACGCACGAGCCGAGCCTAGGAAGTCGGCGTCCGTGGAAACAGGGACAGGTCAGGCCCATGAACTGCAATCCCCTCTGCCTTCTCGGCCCACATAACCGTTAGGTGCTCTGAGGTAGGAGTAACGCATGCGCGGGCTTAGAGGCGGGGCTAAAGCCGTCCTGGACTGAAGACGCATGCGCTTGTTGCCACTCGGCGGTCGGACGCGAAGAGGCGGAGCTTTATGCTTGTGGGTGGGGCCACGGACCCTTAGGGCGGGGGTTTTCCTCCGAGCTGAGCAGAAGGAAGACGTTTTCTGGTGGGTGGTTAGTCGCCAGCTCCTCACCCAGCTCTCACCCCACCCCGCTCATTTTTCCGGGGCTCTCCTGGGAAGGCGGTCAGGATCGCGGTTAAGACTGCAACCTCAGTAGTTTGACGAAACTAGCTGGGAATGCTAGTACTGCCCCTTGACTTGGTAGGCTTCAGTTTCCCCATCTGTCAAGTTGGAGTAACAGTACACTGACTTCCTGGGGCTGTGATTACATTTTTCCCTTAGGGCCATGGCTGAGGTGCACGTGATCGGGCAGATCATGGGGGCCATCGGTTTCTCGGAAAGTAGCCTCTTCTGCAAGTGGGGCGTCCACACAGGTATTCCGGGGCCTGGTTCATTTCCCCACCCATACCCCCAGCCCAGAGTTTCTACCCTCCTTCCTTCACCCCCTGGCCTAGTTCCTGATCCTCATCTTCCATTGGCTCCCAGGACTCCCAGCCATGGCCACACTCTGACAATGTGAATCGGGCATTGTTCTTCCCATCCCATCTCTCTGAGGACTCTGGCTCCTCTCTGAACACACAGCCCCCAAAGATATGGGGTTAGACACCCCCCACACACACATTCCCAATCCTCAAAACACTAGCCAGCCTAACCCCACTGAACTTAGTGGTACCCCAGGTCCCTCCCCTATCTTCATTCTTTGCTTTATTGAATTCTGACTGTGAAATGGGTTTCCATCCCAGATTTACAGAGGAGAGGCCACCCTCCTGTATTTTTAATTCTCTATGAGAATGGAGGAACCCCTTCCAATCAGTCATCCATGTTCATCCACACAGGACTAGGAGGGACTGCGGAGACCCCAATTTTCATGTTTCCCCATCAGAGGCAGCATAGCAACCAGTGTAATGGGTAGGGCCATAGGCCACCAGCTCTGGGCTCAAATACTAACTTCCTCACCTAGTGATTGATGGCTTTTGGACTTGACCTTTGTGTTTCCTTGTCTAAAAATGAAGCTAACAGCAACTAAGAGGCAGTAGAGTGTTGAGGTTAAGAGCAGACTGCCTGTGTTCAAAACCACATATTAATTGTTTGGCCTCTGGCCCTCGTCTTTGCCTTGATTTCCCTGTCTGTACAATGGGAATAATAACAGTGCTTGGTTCATGGGCTTGTCTTGAGGACTAAATGAGTATCAACAGCACTGAGAAGAGGGCCTGGTGCAGTGTTTGCCTGGCTTGTAGGAACTAGATGGGGTTCATTAGTGAAGCCTTGCGTATGCTGCCCCATAGAGAGGAAACGCTCACAAAATGAGTGGCTTTTGCCATTGTCATCTCTGGAGGTCCTGAGTCCTTTGCGATTTCAGTGGAGGGTAGGATGGTGGCTGAGATCTCTGGGGAAGGGGGAGGGAGGTCTGATAAGAGGCAGGCTCTAGTCAGACTTAGTTTCCAATCTGGACCCTACCACTCACCTGCTCTGAGACCCTGGTCGGGTGCTGTCCCCTCTTGGAGTCTCATTTTTCCTCACCTGTAAAGTGGGAATATTTGTCTTTCAGAGGGATGCTGACAAATCTTGTATGTGAAGAGCCTGACTCAGGGCCTGGTACTTTCCTTACCTGGCCCAGGAGGGAGCAATAACTAACATGACTGTTAGTAGTTCAGGGGCCCCTTGGTAGGGGGACAGTTATTCCAGCAGAGAGCTCAGGAGCAGCCAGATCAAGGGCTTGGGCCCTGTAGTCAGAGAGCACAGTTTGAGTCCAGTGCCACCATGGGACAGTAGTCAGCCATGTTCCTGCTATGCCCAGCATGGGCAACTGTGCTTGGCACACAGCAGGTGTTCAGTAAATGTTAATGGAATAAATGGCCAAGTGACTTCCCTTCTCAGAGTCCGTATCTTTACCTGTAAAATGGGGATTATATTAGCACCCACCTCCTATGAGCAGTTATTTGTCCAGCAAACATTTATTGAGCACCTTTTGTGTACTGAGATCAGAGTTTGAAGTCTTGGGGACTTAGCAGTGTGCAAGAGGCATGGTCTCCTGGGGATCCCAAGTAGAGGGACAGAAATTTTTAAAAAAGCAGGTAAGGAAATGAGCACAGGGATCACTGACAGTGGTCACTACAGGAAGAAAGGACAGATGACATGCCAGGGACTAGCATTCAGATAAGAGGATGAGGGAGCACCCATCTGTGAGAGGCAGCACACTTGAGCTCATCCCTGAAGGATGAGAAAAAACCAGGCATGGGCACATCCAGGAGCAGAGCTTTCTGGGCAGAGCCAGTGCAAAGGCAGAGCTTTCTGGCCAAAGCCAGTGCAAAGGCTCTGAGGAGGGGAATAGAAATCAGGCCAGTGAGGCTCAAAGGTGGTGTGGGATGGGGAGAGTGGTGGGAAGTGAGTTGAGGACTGGGGCACAGGCCAGGCCATGCAGGGCCTTGTAGGCTCCTGAAGGGAGTCTAAAGTGGGCGGGGGGGATAAAAGTCCCAGAGGGCAGATTAAATGAATTCATGGCTAAACCAGGAGCACAGCATCTGGCTCTCTGTCACTGTTATTATCAGCCCCCGTCTATTGCTATTATTATGTACCTTTCACCATGTGCTTGAGCTCTTGAAGGACACCCTTGGCCCCATCTTAGTCCTCAGACGAGGCCTAACATGGGCTGAGAAGAGCCACAAAATGCTATCCAGCACTTAACCAGCACTCCCTGTCCCAAGGGCTTTCTGTATATTGGCTCATTCAGTTTTTTCACAAGAGGGATGTGTTCTTTTTTTTTTTTTTTTAATATTTTATTTATTTATTTGACAGACAGAGATCACAAGTAGGCAGAGAGGCAGGCAGAGATAGAGGAGGAAGCAGGCTCTCCACTGAGCAGAGAGCCCGATGCGGGGCTCGATCCCAGGACCCTGGGATCATGACCTGAGCCGAAGGCAGAGGCTTAACCCACTGAGCCACCCAGGCGCCCCAAGAGGGATGTGTTCTTATGCACCCATTTTACGGAAGGGGAAACCAAGGCAGAGACAGGTAACTCGCCTGAGGTTGCACAGGCGGGACAAAGTAGTACCAGAATATGAACCCAGACATTTGGCTCTCGAGTCCACACTTTGTAACCGCTGATTCGTCCACTGCCAGGGAGAGCCAGGGTCCCCAGCCCCAGTGGCCTCCCCTTCCTGATGTCTGCTTTCCACCCCTCCCTGCAGGGGCGGCATGGAAGCTCCTGTCAGGTGTGCGGGAGGGCCAAACGCAGGTGGACACCCCCCAAGTAGGGGACATGGCTTACTGGTCCCACCCCATCGACCTGCACTTCGCCACCAAAGGCCTCCAAGGTGGGTTCCCAGCATGAGCCCTGGAGCAAACTGAGGGGAGGGGGGCTAGCAGCACCCAAAGCTGCTGCACCTGGGCATACCAAGCCCCATCCCTGTTCCCTAGGCCCTTTGGGTCCCTTTCCTGGCCAGACCTGGCCCCGGAGAGGCTGAGCTGGGGCCTCTGCAGGCTGGCTCTGGAGTATGTAGGACTAGGCCAGAGGCCAGGGCTGCAGGGGGAAGGGGGAAGGTGGGAACAGGGAGAGAAGGGAGGTGGCTTTCAAAGAGACAAACAGGAGTCTTCAATCAGGAGGAGGCTGGGAGGGGGCTGTGAGGGAGAGAGGCAGGGCCTGCACCCCTTCTGCTCTGCAGTCTCTGCTCAGCTGCTTGCAGGGGAAATGAGTATGCGGGGGAGGAAGGGTATCAGAAAACCTTTTCTCGTGGAAAATTTAGATCACTGGAGAGGAGTGGATTCTAGGAAATAGCCCAGGTAAACATGACATGTATTTCAACAATATAAATAATATTGACTGAGTGTCTGCCCTGTGCCCCGCCTGTGTTGGGTGATGATGGGGAAATGTTGGTGATTGAGACAGCACCCCCCCCGCAGCCCTGTCCTCATGGGGTTCACCATCTCCTTGGGAGAGACAGAGCTGTCCCCGGACATGGCAGCCCAGAGTGGGCAGGTCTGGGATGGGGCGGGGGAGGGGGATCCTAGAGGGTAGGGAAGCCCCAGAGTAGATGCCTGACTGCCAGGGAGTTCAGGGAGAGCTTCCTGGAAGAGGGGATGTTTGAGCTTTGCCATAAAGGGCTAGTAGGAGCTGATAAGGTGGAGGGGTGGAAGTGGGTTCTAGGCAGAGAGCTGTGTGTGAAAAGCCCAAAGGGGAGAGTGAGCTGGGGGCATTTGGAGGATCAGGGGTAAACAGGAGGAGGGCCAGGGGTGAGGTGGCAGGGGACAGGAGACAGGCCATAGAGCTGAGGCCATGTCCTGAAGGCACCAGGGAGCCACAACATGTGACTCACGAGTCAGAGCTCAATTTTAAAAGATCCTTCTGGCTGTCTGGGGGGGACGGACTGGAGTATGAGACAGGCAGCCTGTCCTCCAGCTCTGCAGACCCCACATCCTCTAGTGTGGGCCCCATTCTTGCCTCCTCTTTCCTCAACCCCCATTCTGCCCATCGGGAAATCCCTTTGGTTTTACCTTTGAAATGTATCCTAAATCCCCCCACTTCTCTCCCTGGGCCCCCTAGTCTTCCCAGCCTCACCTCTTACCTCTCTCTTGGACAATGATAGCCACCTCTTCTCTGTGCTCCCACCCTGCCCCCAGAGTGGGTCTCTCTATGAACACCCAAGTTGGGTCCCATTCCTTCTCTATGCAGAACTCTCTATGGTCCTCATCTTACTGAGAGTAAAAGCCAAAGCCTTATCGTGGATCCTTAAGGCCCTGCTCAATCTGGTGTGCCCCTGCCTCTCCCTCTCTCAGACGGCTGCAGCCACGCTGCCCCCATCAGGCGGCTCCCACCTGAGGGCCTTTGCACTGGCTGTTCCCTCTCCTGGGGCGTTCTTCCCTAGATATCCATCTACATGGCCCACTCCCTTCCCTCCTTTAGGCATTCGCCCACATGTCACCTTCTCAGTGAAGCTTCCCTTGCTCACCCCTTTCTAAAACTGCATCCCTACCCCCACCATACACAGCTTTATTTTTCTCCAGAGCGGTGATCACCATCTGACATACCCTATAATTTGCTTATTTACTACATTCGTTGTCTAGGATGTCAGGAATTTTTGTCTGCTCCGTTCACCACTGTGTCCCCAGCTTCCAGAATAGGGCCTAGCCCAGAGGGGCACAGAAAGGAGGGTGAAATGGGGCCAGATCTCCAAGGGCTTTGCCTACCAGGTTGAGGAGCTGAACCTCATGTTCTAAGGATATTGAGAAACCCAGGGAAGTGGGAGAATGATGCTTCCAACCCCCAGATGGAAGGTGTAAGAAGGCTGGTCCTGGGCCCAGAGCGCACAGAGTGGGACATGGTGAAGGAAGAGGGAGGTGTCCAGGACTAGGCCCAAAGTGCTCACCTGGGGAGTGCGCTGCCCTGATTGGGGGACACAGAAGAGGAGGCTACAGAGAGGGATGTCAGCTGAGGCCAGATTCAGAATGTTGAGGTTGGACTTATGCTGAGGGCACTGGGGAGCCACAAAAGGGTTTTTAGCAGGGGAAGAACACAGATTCAGAAGGATCCCTTTGGCTGCCTTGTGAATGGGCTCCCAGAGAGAAGGCTGGTGCAGACAGCCAGTGGGGAGGGGGCTGGGCCTGTGGAGATCAAGGAGGTGGGGACCAGGCCGGGGAGACCGAACTACACCATCTACACCATCACTCCTTCCCCCCCCCCCCAATCCTGCAGGCTGGCCCCGGCTCCATCTCCAGGTGTGGTCGCAGGACAGCTTCGGCCGCTGTCAGCTTTCAGGCTATGGCTTTTGCCATGTGCCCAGCAGTCCAGGCACCCACCAGCTGGACTGCCCTACATGGCGGCCCCTGGGCAGCTGGCGGGAGCAGCTGGCTCGGGCCTTTGTGGGTGGCGGGCCTCAGCTGCTGCACGGGGACGCCATCTACAGCGGGGCTGACCGCTACCGCCTGCACACAGCGGCGGGTGGCATCGTACGCCTGGAGCTGGGGCTGCTGCTGCGCCACTTCGACCGCTACGGTGTGGAGTGCTGATGGTGCCTCCAAGGACAGGCCGGTATCCACACCCCTGCTGACCTGCCCAGGGCCAGGATGGCCCAGTGCCCAGAAGCGCGGGCTCTGGACACTGTCGGATCTGACCCCAGCCAACAGCTGGCATGGCTTCTGTCCTGGCGAGCACCTCAGGCCCCATGGCTGCCCCTTCAGGTCCAGTTTCCCCATCTGTAAAAGGGGGGCAGTAAGCGTGTGGGGTCTCATGGTGCTGGGTGAAGAAAGGCTGCTTTGCCCATGGAAGTGCTCAATAAAGGAGAGCAGTTCTTAACAGGTGTGGGTGCTTTCCTGACTTCCTTCTTTGGCCAGATGTCCTGTGCTCTGTCCTCCCACTGACACCCTCCTTCAGGCCCTCACCTCCTGACACACCCACTTCCCCCATCCTCTGCCTCAGCCTCTGCCCCTCTCCCCACTCTGGGTGCCCCTCTCCTTGGGGCTTCTCCCTCTTGTGCCCCCCTCCCCACTGGGACCCCATCTTCTGGCTGGCCCTCTTCTTCAGCCTCCCACTCTCTGTCCGCTGGGATCCCCGCCCTCTGATCCCCCCGACCCAATGTCCCCAACCTCTGAGTAAGCCCTCCCCGCCAGGTTTTCATTCTCTCCGTGACCCGCGCAGCCCTCAGAGCCACACGCAACCCATCTGCCCGTTTTGGTCGCCCTCGGCCGCCAGGAGGCAGCACCCCGTTCGCGGGGCGGAGCCGGGGTGCCCGCCCCCTCCCCCCGGGGCTTAAGGGACCCCCCTCGGAGCCCGCCCACGCGAGATGAGGACGGTGGCCCGGCCCCCCATGTCCTCCCCCTGGGGGCCGCCCCCGCCCCGCGCGCTTCCTGGGTGGGGCCGGGGCGGCTTCAAAACCCCCGCTGTCCCAGCCGGTCCCCGCCGCTGCCGCCGCCACCGCCGCCGCCGCCCTTCGCGCCCCGGGCCGTCCCACCCCCTCCTCCCGCCGAGGATCCGTCAGACAGCGAGGCCCCCGGCCGGGGGCAGGGGGGACGCCCCCTCCGGGGCACCCCCCCGGCTCGGAGCCGCCCGCGGGCTGGCCTCGGCGGGGAGCGGAGAAAGGAGCCGCCGAGGAGCAGCCCGAGGCCCCAGAGTCTGAGACTAGCCGCCGCCGCCCCCGCCGCCGCCGCCGCCACTGCGGGGAGGAGGGGGAGGAGGAGCGGGAGGAGGGACGAGCTGGTTGGGAGAAGAGGAAAAAAAGTTTTGAGACTTTTCCGCTGCCGCTGGGAGCCGGAGGCGCGGGGACCGATTGGCGCGGCGCTGCCCTGCCAAGGAGGCAGGACTCGGGGACCCCAGACCGCCCCCACCAACGCCTCGGACGCTTGCTCCCCCCTGCCCCCTCCACGGCGTCCCCCAGGCTCCCCCATTCCGGACCAGCCCTCAGGAGCCGCCAGCCCGGACTCCCGCGAAGACTTGAGCCCAGACCTCGGGCGCACCCCCCTGCACGCCGCGCCCCCACCCCCAGCCTCTCTCCTGAGCCCCCGCGCATCCAAGGACCCTTCTCCTCTGGGATCCGGGAGACGGGATATCTCTCAGACCTGCCTCAACTCCCCTCCTCAAGACCACCCACCTCTGGTACCAGATCTCGCCCATCTCGGTTTTTTCCTTGGGATACCGAGAAACCACCCATCAGAGCTTCCCCTCCACCTCCGCTCCGTTCTCCCTGAGGGCATCAAGCCCCCCACCCCACCCCGACCCTCCTACCTTTCTTCGGGAGACCCCCCAGCCCCTGTAGGGGCGGGGCCTCCCTTTTCCCACCCCAGCCGGGCTCACGCTCTCGGCAGTGCCGGGGGCGCTGCCTCCCCCATGCCGCCCTCCGGGCTGCGGCTGCTGCCGCTGCTGCTGCCACTGCTGTGGCTACTAGTGCTGACGCCTGGCCGACCGGCCGCGGGACTGTCCACCTGCAAGACCATCGACATGGAACTGGTGAAGCGGAAGCGCATCGAGGCCATCCGCGGCCAGATCCTGTCCAAGCTGCGGCTCGCCAGCCCCCCGAGCCAGGGGGAGGTTCCGCCCGGTCCGCTGCCCGAGGCTGTGCTGGCCCTGTACAACAGTACTCGCGACCGGGTGGCCGGGGAGAGCGCCGAGCCGGAGCCCGAGCCTGAGGCGGACTACTACGCCAAGGAGGTCACCCGCGTGCTAATGGTGGAAACCACCAACAGTGAGCTCAGAGGGGCCGGGGACCCTGGAGGGGAGCCCCCAGGGGGCGCCGGAGTGCAGGGGTCACGGGGGAGGAAATTACTGGCAGAGGAAACTGGCTAGAGGAAGAGGACCCCCGGGGTTGCCGGGAACGCGGGCGGGGGGTCTCAAAGAGGATAGGACTGAGCTCTCTAGCTCCCAGGTATCCGGCCTTGAAGACGAGGAGATAGTGAGCGAAGGGGACCGCTTCTAGAAGAGACCACGGGAACATGCGGGATCGTGGAGGCAGTCCCCTAGAGGGGGAGAAGCGATTGGGGGATGGAAGGGTAGAAAGACTTTCCTCTCTACCCGGCACTAGAGTCGGGGGGGCGGGTCGTGGGGTGAGGGCTACAGGGAGGGAGCCCGCTTTGGGAGAAGCGAAGAGCCCAACATTTGAGAAAGGAGAGGCAGTGGGGATAGCTGACCCAGAGCTCAGGGGTCACGAGGCGAGAAAATTCAAGAACATAAAAACTAAGTGAAGCGAACCCCGGAGGTGCCGGTAAAGTGGAGTGTGGCCCCGCTTGCAGCTTGCGCGACCAGGCGGGATTGGGGGAGGACCCGCAGAGAGGCGGCGAGGGGGCTGATGAATGCGGGGAATAAGTGGACCCAAGGTCGTGGGGTGGAGGGAGGTCAGAACGGGAGAGCATAGGAGACCCTTGGGAGACGCCGGGGATATGCGCGAGGTGCCCCAAGTATTTGACATAGGGACGTGAGAGGAGCAGGCTCAGCGGGGGAAGCGAGCCCCCAAGACATCTAGAATACTGGGTTTTAGAAGGGGTTTAGAGAGGGGGGAGACAAGCACAAGACAAGAAAGGGGGGACCGATAGGGAGTATAGAGAGCTATAAACAGTGCCGTCCTGGGAGCAGCGAGCCCCCCACGTCGCGGGAGGGGAGGAAGTGGGCTGAGCGAGGAGTCGAGCCCTAGAGGTGGGTGGGTGCGACTCTGCAAGATCGGGGTGAGAAAACTGACTGGGTCAGGGTAAGGGAGCCCCACGTGGGTGCCACGCGCGAAGGGAGGAGCCTGCCCTCTCGCAAGCGCGGGGGAGGAGGACCCCGCAGAGTTGAAGGGGGAGTCTGGACCCCAGAGTCCCAGTTCCTCTCGGAGAGGCTGGGGAAACCCCAGCGTCCGGCCGCCTAGCCCTCCCTTCCCTTTCCTTCCCGTGCCCGGGGGTGGGGGCGGGGATCGTGCGCGGAGCCTGGGGCGAGACGGGGCAGGTCGGGTCCCCGCCCTCGCGGCGGTGGCGCCTCCCGCCCTCTTCAGCTCGGGGCGGGGCTGCCACTGGGCCCGCCCACCGACCCCCCTTGGGCGCCCACGCGGGGACGGCTCCGTTTGCCCTTTTGGTCTTGGGTGGTGCACCTGTGAGTGCCCGGGCCTTGCGCGCGCCTAGTTGGCAGCTTCAGCTGGATGACGCCTCTCCCCACCCACCTCTCGGCCTCACCTTTTCCGTGGTCTCTTCGCCCGCCTTGTGGAGATTTCTTTAACACCGCACCTTCCATCCTCGTCTCCCCTCCCAGTCAGCCACCATCTCGCCCCCAAACCCTATGTTCCTCTTCCCGTGTGTGTCTGCCCCATCTCTGCCTTCCACCTCTCCCACATCCCCATGCATGGGTCTCCCCGTTTCTGTTTCCTCCCTCTTTCTCCCTCTTTCCTCCACGCCCTGCTCCTTGTGTCTCCATCTCTGCAGTCTCTCCATCTCTCCTTCTGACCGGTCCTGCCCCTCCTTTCTCCTTCCTCCTTATCTGTCCCCCCTATCCCCTTCAATGCTCCTGCCCTACCCTTCCTTTGGGGTTTGCTGAGTAACCCTTGGGTCAAGATAGGGCTTCTTCGTGGGGGACAGGGGCTGGCCTAGCTAGAGTAGGGAGGAGTAGAGGCAGGGGCCCATGGAAGGAGCTTCCTCTGCCCTTTCTCATAAGATCCTGTCTCCACCATTTCTGCACCCCTACTGCAGGGGCCTAAAGCATGTGCCCCAGTCCATCCAGAAGGTCACGGCCTGCCCACTCATCCCAGACTTTCCTGAGACTACAAAACACTCTTCCTAACTTTCCTCCTCCCTGCCCAAAGCCATTCCTACCTAGAATGAACTTTGCGTTATCTAACTAGCTGAGGGAGGGAGAGAAGAGAGGAAGGAATTAATAATAATAATAGTAATAATAGTAGTAATAATAATGTCAAAATAGCAAGGAGGCAGCATAGCCCAGGGGTTAAGAGCGCAGTTTTTGGGACCAGACCGCTCAAATTTGAATCCCAGCTCTGTAGCTCCCTACTTCTGTCGGCCTGGGGCAAATGACCTGCCTCCCAGCTCTAAAATGGGTATAATAATCATCTTTTCCTCATGGGGTGGTTGTGACGTTTAAATGTCTTAACCCTTGCAAAGGGTTGTGAATAGCACCTGGCAAATAGTGAGCGCTCTTTAACACATACATACCCTGCCCCCCACCCCCATGCGGGCTCTGCTGCAATCCTTACCTGTGCTGTCTCACTTACCTCACATGATAACCCTGTGGTCAGTCGTTCTGCAGATGAGGGTCTGGCTCAGAGGGTGCAATTCCCTGGCCCAAAGTTACACAGCCTTCCATGAGGAGAGCCTGGTTGGGAATTAGGGTGTTCCCTGTGGTTGCTGGTTCCTAAACAATAGCAGGAAAGTGAGGCTCCGTGAAGGAATGGGACTTGCCCAAAGTCACCGAGCTGGAAGGCAGGAGAAGCCAAGGCTGATCCAAATGTTCTTGATCCTAATTTGCACCTGAGGCTCCGAGTGGAGGAGGACTGAGCAAGCACAGGGGCCCCCTACTGCCACATACTGAGGGGACACTTTACCCACAATGGGTGAGAAGGGGTCAGACCCTGTTTTACAGAGTAAGGAGACAAACCCAGAGAGGGCAAGCCATTTGCCCAAGCCCCACAGGCCAAAAGTGTCACAGTCGGGTTCCCAGCCACAGTTGTCAGCCCTGGAGCCCTTAGACTTGGGGTGTGCCTGCCAGCTCCTCGCCAAACCCCTGACATCCCTATCCCCCCCCCCCCCCCCTCTGCTCCTCCCGCCTAGGAATCTATGACAAAATCAAGAAAAGCCCGCACAGCATATATATGCTCTTCAACACATCGGAGCTCCGAGAAGCGGTGCCCGAGCCCGTCCTGCTCTCCCGGGCAGAGTTGCGCCTGCTGAGGCTCAAGTTAAAAGCGGAGCAGCACGTGGAGCTGTACCAGGTGCGGGGCAGGGGCGCACGCCCAGTGGAGTCGTAGGGCTCTTGGGAACTTGCCGACTCCTAGCACCCCTAGGGTATTAAACACCCAGAAGTCTGGGAGCTTGAAAGGTTGCAGGCTCTGGGCCGTTTCTGTCCAATAGGTTAGCCACTAGCCACACATGGCCATTTAAGTTGACTAAAATGAAATAAAAGAAAAAACTTCAGTTTGTCAGGCTCACCGGCCATATTTCAAGTACTCCACCGTCACATGTGGTTAGCGGCTGCTATTTTGGATGCCACAGATAAAGAATATTTCCATCGTCAGAGAAAGTTCCCTTGGATAGCTCTGTTTTAGAAGATTTCAAGTCTCTGGGAAGATTGGGGCCCCCAGAAAGGCTGGAGTCTCCAGAAGGTTACGTGACCTAGAATCCACGTCTTCTGGAACGTGAGGTTTAACAGTGGGCAGCAGACTCTTACAACAAAGGAATGTGGTGTATTGTCAAAACTTCTTGGAGTCTGGAGAACTCAGCTTTGCAAAGCCAGCGCCTGGAGTGTTCTGCCCGGCCGCCAGAGGACCCCCACACAGGGTTTGGGAGGCGTCAGCAGCATCTGGGTTTGGGGTGTGTCAGACTCCTGGGCATGTAGGAGTTTGGTGTCCTTGGACTTCTCAGGCTCATTGAGTGTGTAATTCTAGGGGTGCTCCCGAGCACTGGAGTTCTGGAATGACTTCTAACAGAAGCCCCTAGAAAGTTACAGCCTCTCAGAAGTCAGGGCATCAGCTTTGCAGAATTGTAGGCTTGCTCTGTGGACCTCAGGATGTCTGCGGATGATCTTAGCGTGGTGGGTTGTCCAAGCTGAAGGGGGCCTGGCATTTCACCAGTGAGAGAACTCAGGCCTGGGCTGGGGGCAGGGGCTGAGCCATCCAAGTGCCTTGAGCCCTCCCTGGCCCTGGGGTCTCCCTACTCTCCTCCCAGGGCTGCTCTGCGGGTGGTGGTTCCTGCAGGGCCCCACAGTGTGGCTGTCTGGGAGGGGACCATCTGAGGGACTCTCTGGAGGCCTGTTTGGTGGAGCAGGAGTGGGGGTACAGTCAATGCATTTGGGGGGTGTGGAGAACCATCTACTCACTGTCTCGTTCCCCCCACATTCGTCATCTCCTAGAAATACAGCAACGATTCCTGGCGCTACCTCAGCAACAGGCTGCTGGCGCCCAGCGACACGCCAGAATGGCTGTCCTTCGATGTCACTGGAGTCGTACGGCAGTGGCTGAGCCACGGAGGTGAGGACGGCTTCTTTGCCCCACCCCTATTTTGTAATGGGAGCCATCTCATTGCCTACCAGCTGCTGCCCCATGTTGGTGCCAGAGAGCCAAGACCTGGCCTTCCTCCCAGACCCTCTAAAACCTGAGTGATTCCCGCTTAATCCATTTTCTGACCACCTGCCTAACACTGGGGGATGCTGGGGATGCAGCAGTGACCCAAAGAGCCCCATCCTTACCCTCCCAGAGCCCTTGGTCCATTGTTGGGGTGGGAGAAGGGGAGAAAGACCTGAAAACTGGGTAGGGCTGGCCTGGGGAGCCCAGAAGAGATATCTGACTCAGCCTCCAGTCAGGGAGGGCTTCCTGGAGGAGGGGACATTGGAGCTGATATTTGAGGGATGAGTGGAATCAGCCAGGCAAAGAAGGAGGGGCAAGAGCGTTCGAGGCAGTCCCTGAGTCCAGGGAGTGCCTGACACATCTGATCTGTCTATAAGAGGACTGGTCAGAGGACTGTGTCTGTCCTGCCCATTGGAGTCCATGGTGCCCACGTCCCTTTTCCTAATCTCCCTCTTGATGCTGGGGATGCAGTGGCAACTAAGACCATTTCTCGATCCTGCCCTCGAGGGGCCCACAGTCATTTCCAGACATCTAGAAAGCCTTGCCAAAGCCGGAGAAGGCAGTGATAACCGGAAGGAGCGGTGTGGGGGCGGGGAGGTGCTCAGGCACCTGGACCCATCGGAGGGCTCTGGGAGGGCTTCCTGGGGGAAAGTGATAGTGTTGAGACTTGTGGGATAAGTGATGGTTCGGCCAGGTGTTGAAAGATGGGGGCTCAAGAGCAGGTGGGAGCTGGGAGTAATGTCCTGTGCAGCTGGACAAAGGCCAGCCTCGGTCACTGCCGAATCTAGAACACCAAGCATGGGGTCGAGCACCTAGGAGGAGCTTAGAAAATCACCCATTCATTCAAGAAAACTTTTTTGCACAGCGGCCCTGTGGGTTTGCCTCCCAGCCCTACATTTTCCCACTTGGGGCAAGTCCTCTCCCCTCCGTGGGGCTCAGCCTCCATGTCTGCAAAACGGGGAGCTTTGGTGAGGTTTGAAGGAGATAATGCTCCCATGCTCACAGAGTGTTTAGAACAGGGCCCCTCAGTAGATGTTTTTATGACTGTGGGCTAGGCCCAGCGGGGAAGGAGAAAACAGGCATCCCTGCCCCCATGTATCCTGCTTTCCACTGAGGGAACAATGGGGGAGATAAATAGCCAAACACAAATGTCAGGGAGGGTAAGTACTATGGAGAAAATAAAGTGATGTCACTGTGGGGGAGGGACCTGTGTCCTGGAGGGCCTCCTGGAGGAGGTGACCACTGAGCTGAGGCCTGAAAAAGGAGGAGGAAGCCAGAGGATGCAGGGAGAGGGTAGACGGGGAAGAGGAAGGCAGGCAGGAGCCCCCACCCCCTCAACCAGCGTTGCTCCAGCCCCCTGCAGCTTCGGGGTGAGCCGTACCTCACACTGCCTTCCCTCTCTCCACTCCCACAGAGGAAGTAGAGGGCTTTCGCCTCAGTGCCCACTGTTCCTGTGACAGCAAAGATAACACACTCCAAGTGGACATCAACGGTGAGGCCCATCTCCCTGGCCCGGCCTCATGGCGGCGTGCGCGCATGCGCCTGTGTGCGTGTGTGTGTGCGTGCGTGTGCGTGAGTGCATGCGTGCGTCTTCCTCCCCCGCCCCTGCTCCAGTTCATCCATCTGAGAGTGTGTCTCTGCTTCCCCCCACCCCGCCCCTCCAAACCAAAGCAGGGCTCAGTTCCAGCCGCCGAGGTGACCTGGCCACCATTCACGGCATGAACCGGCCCTTCCTACTCCTCATGGCCACCCCACTGGAGAGGGCCCAGCACCTGCACACCTCCCGGCACCGCAGGGCCCTGGACACCAACTACTGCTTCAGGTGACCTTTCTGCCTTCGACCGGGGGCTCCTAGGCTGGGGGACATGATGGTTGGCTGCTGACCAGGTGCTCTCCATTGGGCACTTGGCTACGCGTGGCCCGGCCTCTCCTCCGGCCTGGGAGGCTCAAAAGACAAGCACTGGGAGTGCTCGAATGCTGGGATGGGTGCCCTGGGAGCCCTAGAATGTTGAGGTCACTCTGTCTTCTTGGTGGTGTGCTGGAATCAGGCTGTTGAAATGAGGGACACGAGCGTGTGGGAATTCAGTGGTGGCAGGTTGCGGATCTAGAAGGTTGAGTCTAGGACACTAGGATTCCGTGTGAATGACATCTGAGAACGCTGGACTCCAGGAATGTTGGGATCCTAGAATTTGGGAATTCAGAATTGGAAGAAGGTTCATGTTGGATTCCTTATGCCATGGCAGAGTGGAGTCCTTGAATATTGGGATTACGATGGGGGAAGCCTGTGTTAAAATACCAGCATCCACAGATGTTGGGGTTGGAGAAAGCCAGAGTGGATCCTAGAGTGTTGTGGCTCAGTGTTGGCATGGTAGAATCTGGGAAGCTGGGATCTTAGGAAGTGGCAGCTTGTACCTCTTGAGTGATGGGCTCCGGATTGTGGGATGTTTTGGTGCTATATTGAAATGGTGGAACCCATGAATGGCAGGACCCCAGAGAGCGGGAATGTAGCAATCCCAGCAAGTTGGAAATGCCAGTGGAGTGTGAGAACCTTGAGATGCTCGAGTACTACAGTCTAAGAAAGTCAAAAAAGTTGGATTCTTTAGAATGTGGACATTCAGAGTTGGATGTTGCAGAGTTAGAATGATAACCTGACCTTGTCCCTCCCCTGATGGTACATCCGCTCTTTCTTATATGCCGTTTCCCTGCTGGAGAGTCAGTTCTGCTCCCAGACCCAGCCTTCAGCACAGCAACCCTGTGAATGAATGCACGAATTGAGGTCTTGAGTGCTACTAACATTAATAACCTTACAAAGGGAGGCAGCCAGCCATGTGAGGCTCTGTAGGGAGGGACACAGTGTCACTTTGGCCCACTAGGAAGTTGGGCCAAAAATGGAATGTGCAACTGTTCGAGATGGTGGATCCAACTGCCAATTTTCCAGAAACCCAGGGATAGGGAAACAGTTTAAACAATACCATGCGCTTGCAATCAGCCACAGTTAGAAGATGGGAAACCTGACCTGCTTTCTTCAACAAACACAAGGCAGAGCAGGGGGAAAGAGAGAGATGATTCTGTAGATTTCTAAAAGAATTTGAAGAGGTAGATCAACCAATTGCAATAGGTAGAACTTATTTGGATCCTAATGCAGAGGAGTAAAAATAAAAGACATTTGTGAGACAGTCAGGGAAGTACGAACTCTGACTACATATTTGATGATATGAGGGAATCATCGTGAATCTTTCTTATGTGGTATTGTGGTGATGTTTTAAAACAGTCCTGAGTTTCTTGGAGATATGTGTGGAGACTTCTGTGGATGAGATGTCATGTTGGATGGCATGGGCTTCGAAATCATCCAGTGGGGGAGAGGAAGTGAGAGGGGGCAGAGATGCAGTGAACTTGGCCATGATGTGGGATTGCGGAAGCTAGCCTCCCTGAATGCTTCCCCAGCGTCCAAGGACGATGTGAGGCCCTTTGGCCTGTCCTGGGGCCCCAAGTGGGTTTCTTTTACCTCTCAGGCCCTGACTGGACGGCAGAGGGAATCTGTAGGAGGTTAGCAAGAGGGGCACCTGGCTGGTCCAGTCAGTAGAGCATGTGACTCTTGATCTCCGGGTCGTGGGTTCAAACCCACACTGAGCATAGTTTGTACTTAAAAGCTTTCCGAGAGGCCTTGAACTCTTACTGAACACATGGGTTACATAGTGCCTCAGAGTCATCTGCAGGCTTGTTAAATATGGCCTGCTGTCCCCCAGCCCCAAGCCAACCCTCAGTTTCAGACTCAGTAGGTTGGTAGGCGGGGGAGAATTTGCATTTTGCACAAGTTCACAGATGGTCCATCTGCTGCTGTGGGGATCACATGTGGAGAACGTCCCAGGTGGCTGTTAAGAGTCACAGACTATTCAAATCTTAGGACCTCAGAACCCTTGGTCAGAGTTGAACCAGAAGTGAAAGATTATTCTGGACAGGGGTTCTTTCCCTTTTCTGAGTTTAGGACCCCCTCGAGAAGTGGAAAGCCAGGCAGTCTGCCCAGAAATAAGTCTATAAATGCACACGCATGTGCCCGTGGTTTTGGGAGCTCAGGCCTCTCACTGAACCCACACAAGGACTTCGTGATGCCTCCTTGGCCCTTAACAACACCTTATTTGCTCTAACATCTCCTGGGTCTTTGGATAGATGGGGAAACTGAAGCCCCACCAGACTGGGGAGGAACTGGGCTGAGCTCATAGGGATCTCAGATTCCTGACTCCCTTCTCAGGGTTCTGTGGCTTTTGGAGAGGATTTGTCTTGCCCCAGCGAAATGCTGTATCATCTCCTCTTCCTGCTCTGCCTGAGCTGACATGGCTGTGCTCAGGCTCCCGGGCGGCGCAGGTCTGGCTGGGAAGCAGGCCCCAAGCTCCATCACTTACCCGCTGTGCGGGAGCAGCGGCACTCCTCCGGGCCTCAGTTTCTTCACCCTTCCAATGGGAATAGTAATAAGGCCTGCCTCCCAGCGTTTTGAGATGAACTCGTTCCCTGTTGATTAATTTCTGTGTTTTTTTTTTTTTTTAAGATTTTATTTATTTATTTGACAGACAGAGATCACAAGTAGGCAGAGAGGCAAGCAGAGAGAGACAGGGGAAGCAGGCTCCCTGCTGAGCAGAGAGCCCGATGTGGGGCTCCATCCCAGGAACCTGGGATCATGATCTGAGCTGAAGGCAGAGGCTTTAACCCACTGAGCCACCCAGGAGCCCCTGTTGATTAATTTCTGACTAGGTAAATACCTGCATGTGGACCAAACCCAGAGAGAATACTCAGAGACCCTCCAGCTCTGACCCCGCCCCTCTCTGAGGAGGAGGCAGCCGACTTTATTGTCTCTGTGTCTCCTTCTAGAGACAGTCTTTGAAACACTTATACATAACCCTATATTTTTTTAAAACAGATTTTACTTATCTATTTGGCAGAGAGGGAGAGAGAGAGAGCACAAGCAGGGGGAGTGGCAGACAGAGGGAGAGGGAGAAGCAGGCTTAATCCCAGGACCCTGGGAACACGACCTGAACCGAAGGCAGATGCTTAACCAACTGAGCCATCCAGGCATCCTTCCGTATATTTTTTAATTTGCCCAAATTGTAGAATCCTCTGGTGGGGGGGGGGGATGTGGAGAGGGTGCCGGAAACTTCTTCCTCCCTCCCTCTCTCTCCTCCTGTCTTTTCCTTACTTCCTTCTTCCCTCCCTTCCTTATTCGAAAAGTAAAACTCACCCACTGCCAAGAATTTGGAAAATTAAAAAAAAAAAAGAATTTGGAAAATACAGAAAGGTTTCACCCATCACACCACCACATATAAAAAAGTCAACATTTGAATATAGTTCCTTCCAGTCCTTTCACACAAAAACAGAATTTGGATCATACCGTCCTTGTAGCTTTGCCTAGTGTTTCTTTCATAGGTTATGAACCTGGAATATGAAGCGTTCTCGGCTGCCGATGAATCAAGCTTTTTAGCCAAGGTCCCTGCCCAGCTCAGACATGGCCCCAGAAGCCAGCACATAAAATGTCCCAGTTCCTTCCAGACAAGCAGGAGCCTGGGCCCCCGGCTGGGGAGGACTGGGTTTTGCTTTCTGAGCCTGGGACAGAGATTATGAACCCAGAGCTGTACAGTATTACACATCACTACTCTCCAATGTGCTTTTTAAAAACCTAACATACACACACATACAAACATATATTTATTCTAATCTCTAGACCCAGTGGGGGCTTGAACTCACAACCCCAAGATCATGAGTTACATGCTCTTCTGACTGAACCAGCCAGGCACCCCATGTGACAATAAGTTTTAAGAAGGAAAATAAATCAGAGGAAGAGGAGAGGGGGAAAAAAAAAACCCAAAAAGCTAGATATTGGAGATTATTCTTCCTATTCTGGTTAAAATTTTCTTCTATTATGGAAAATTTGAAATGTGGACAAAAGCAATGAAGATATAGTATAAAGAAGTCCCATGAATTCTCACCCAGCTTCAACAAGTATTAAGATTCCTCCCACTTGGCACACCTACTTGGCTGGCTCAGTCAGGACAGCGTGCGACTCTTGATCTCGGGGTTATGAGTTTGAGCCCCACGTTGGGTGGAGATTACTTAAAAATAAAATCTGTTTTTAAAAAATTTGCCCCACTTCAAATATAGACATTGTCATATTTTCTTGCATAACTGAAATGTAATTATTATTACACTGAGTGGAATTCGTGATCATTTGGATAGGTGTTTTGGATATCAATTGAGCACTTGTGCATGTCAGCCCGTGTCCTAGGAGTAAGGCCCCTGCCTGAAGGACATCTGAGCATACATTTAAATGAAGTGAAGGACGGAGCCAGAGTGGATATCTGTGAGAATAGCAAGTCAGGAAGAGGGAAGGGCAAATGCAAAAGTCCTGGGACAGGATTGTGTTTGAGGAACAGGGAGGATGCTAGTGTGGCTGGAGTCAGGGACAGTGGGGAGGAAGTTGCGATCAGCTGGCCAGGCAGCATCTTGGGGTTCCTGGTGAGGGTTGGGCATTTGCCCCTAGTGACATTTTGAGCCATGTTCGGGAGTCAAGGAGCAACACAACAATCTCTAGCATGTGGCCCCAGAAGGCAGAGATTTCTGTCTGTGTCGTTCATACTGAGTCCCTAGTACATCCCAGCCAAGCACAGGGTAGCAGCTCAACAAACATGTGGTGCACCCATAGAACTTAGTGCATGTGGATGGTCATTTGGCTTCTTGCGCGCTTGTTCGGAGCCTGGTGGGAGATAAGGTTTACTGTGATGCCCTTAGCGCAGGGCTTGACTAGCTGGAGTGCTTTATTGATGTTAGTGCCTATGGTTGCTATCACAGCTATTGCATTTACTGTCACAGGCGATGCAAGGGACACTGAGATGGGGACTGTGCTGGGGGCGACCAGGGTGTCCCCCACCCTCCACCCTGCAACCCGTCCCCCTTGGCCCTTGCAGCCGCTGCCCCTGACCCCGCCTCCTCCCTCCCACCTGCAGCTCCACGGAGAAGAACTGCTGCGTGCGGCAGCTCTATATTGACTTCCGTAAGGATCTGGGCTGGAAGTGGATCCACGAGCCCAAGGGCTACCACGCCAACTTCTGCCTGGGGCCCTGCCCCTACATTTGGAGCCTGGACACGCAGTACAGCAAGGTGCATCTGGCCGGGGCCAGGGGATGGGCTGGGGGAAAAAGGGACCAAGGGAGTGGAGGGAGACGAACAGGTAAAATCAGAGAGGAATGGGCCAGCTGAGAAGTAGAGACAGGGGGAGATCAGAGGGGGCGGTGCAGAGATGGGAGGAGACTGGGTCAGAGCTGCTAGAGGGCACAGGGGAGACCCAGGGAGACCTAGGGACTGGGCAGCACTGGAGGAGGGGAGAGTCAGTATGCGAGAAAAAGGCCAGAGTCCACAGACCGCCACCGAGATGGAGACTGAAGACAAGGCAAGAGACTGATACTGAGAATACAACAGACCGAGATGAGAGAGAGGGAGAGGGGGAGAGGTGGGCGAGGGTGGGGGCACCCTGCCCACGCCCCCCACCCCCGACCCTGACCCCCCCACCCGCCCGCAGGTCCTGGCCCTGTACAACCAGCACAATCCTGGTGCGTCGGCGGCGCCGTGCTGCGTGCCACAAGCGCTGGAGCCCCTACCCATCGTGTATTACGTGGGCCGCAAGCCCAAGGTGGAGCAGCTGTCCAACATGATCGTGCGCTCCTGCAAGTGCAGCTGAGGCCCCGCCCCGCCCGGCAGGCCCCGCCCACCCGGCAGGCCCGGCCCCGCCCCTGCCCGCTGCGCCGGGCTGTATTTAAGGACACCACGCCCCAGGCCGCCCTGGGAGTCATTAAAGGTGGAGAGAGGATTGGGGTCTCTGTGCGTGTCGTTGAGTCCCTGACTGGGGTCTCCCTCCCAACATTGCCAACGTTCCCGGATTCCCGCTCCATCTGCCCCCTCTTTCGCTCTCTCCACCATTCATTTCCTCCCACAAACACCTGCTGAGCCCTCCTTAAGTTCCAAGTACTCCCCGCGAGGCTAGATTTATTTATTGAGCACTTTGTGCCCTGTTCCAAATGCCTTATATTGACTAACTCATGTACTCACATAACAAAACTCTGAGATACAGTGTCATCTGAGATAACACTTACTTTAAAGTTGAGGAAGCCAGAGCCCAGAGAGGTTAAGGGAATAGTTCCTGCCCACCAGGAGCCTACTTTCTGGGGAGGAGACAGATGTGGGAAGTGACGCTAAGAAAGGAAAGCAGGATAGAGTGAGAGATGGTTTAGGGGAGGAGGGAAGGCTCCTTGGAGGAGGCAGCATCTGGGACTTGAAGGAAGTCAGGAAGGCAGTCTGGGGGAGCCCTGGGGAAGAGTGTTCCTGGTAGGAAGACCTAGGCACAGCCTAGCCATGAGGATGAAGTTGGAGTGAGTAACACAGAGAAAAGGCCAATGTGGTTGGAAGGGAGGGACAAGGGGAAGGGGACTGGGAGCTGACTCAGTTGATTAAGGCTCATCGGCCAGAGAGTAATGGTATTTCCCCTGCCAGGTATGGCTGTAGGAGCTCGCCGCATTCTCCCCGCAGCCCAGCAGAGCAGGGGTTGGCAAATTACAGCCCGCAGGCCAAATCTGGCCCGCTGCCTGTGTCTGTAAAATAAAGTTTTATTGGAGCACAGCCGCCACGCTCATTCCTTTGGGGATCACCTGGGGCTGTTTCGGTGCTACAAGGGCATGGCTGAGTAGAAATGTAATGCAGAGTCACAAATAGTTACTATCTAGCCCTTTATAGAAACAGTTAGCCAGCTCCTGCTATAGAGATCCTTTGTTTCCCCCCTTTACAGATGGGAAGACCGAGGCACAGTTAAGGTCACACAGCTAGCACATGGCAGAGCTGGGATTCGAGTCCAATCAGCTAGAGTTGAGGATCTAGGCATATAACCTCGGCATGGGCACTGCTTCTGGGTCCACATAGGGCCTGTGGGAATCTGTGGGAACTTGTACTCTGAGGGTGATGGGAGCCCTGTCAGTGTTTGGAGCAGAAGAGGAGTGTGAGTCGACTTCATTGCTCAGAGGATCCCTCTGGCTGATGGTTGAGTACACTGAACGAGGGTGAGGGTTGCTGCAGGGAGACCATTTGTCCAAGTGAGGAATGCTAGGGGCTTGAGCCAGGGTAGCTCCCTGTTGGCTGCCCTCTTTCTTCCTATCTGCTCTGGTCTTCCCCATGAACTCTCCCCTGCTTCCTCCTTCTCGGCCCCTCCTGTTTCTCCTCTTCGTCCCAGGTTTTGGTGCCCCCTACCCCTCTATGCTCTCTTGCCCTTACCAGGGCTGGGCCCTGACCTGCTCCTGGCCCAGGGATGGGCCTAGGTGGGGTCACTGTGTAAGGACATGCTGCCACTTTAACCAGCCTCCTGTGTGCAGACTCGCAGGTGTGCGGTGACACAGACTGTTGTCCCTACAGCCCCATGAAAACGCGGCACAGCTACACAGAGCTATACACATGTTCACACTCATGACAGAGGTTCGAATATGGACCACATTGCACAGTCTTGCAGACACGTTCACCTTTCAGAGCCACAGTGGCTACACAGAAACTTGCGACACTAGTCACAGTCCACACATGCCGCCGCATTACCTATGCACAGCCTGGCCTCAGAGCTTCTACCGGACGTGGCAGAACACAGTCACATGAACACGGCCACTGCAAACCAGGTACAGATTCAAGAGGGTGCCCCGCACAGACACACACCTCCCAGGCTCAGAGCCCCATCAGGAAGTAACACAGAGACTCCTGCTGGGACCCACCAACAGTCACACAAACAGCCTCCATGAGGACATGCTCACGAACAGGCACAGCGCACGCACACACAACCGGACGCATCACAGTTCCACCCAGACACACGCCACACGTGGAGACGCACGTCACGATCGCGCAGACTGTGGGCCGGTCGTGCCCACTCAGTCTGACATCTCGCGGCCCCACACGCTGAGGCCTGGGGAGTCCCACGGGGCCCCACAGACAGCAGCTGGCCCTGTCATACCCAGACACGCTGTCACACCCCAGGTCCCAGACGGAGCCATCCCACACACCCAGACACACCCCCAGGGTCGGGGCCCTCACACGCCCAGCCCGTGCCTCGGCCTGAGGACAAGTCCTGGCCGCACAGCACACCCCGCGGTCGCCCTTGCCACGCCCTCGTGACACACCCCGCCCACCTGCCCGCCTGGCTGAGTTGGCGCAGAGGCCGCCCAGGAAGGGAAACTTGCGGGCTCAGCACCTTCCTGGACTGCCTGCAGGCAGCCCCTGCCCTGCTACCCAGCACCCCCAGCCCGGCAGGGTGGGGCCAGTCCGGGGTGGGGGGGGCGGGGGGGAGGGGAGTCTTGGCCCTGGCCCAGCAACCAGCGCTGAGGCAGGACCCTGGGGTTCAGGGAGACCCGCTCCCCTCCTCCACTCCTGCGGGCTGCCCCGGGAGGCGAGGGAAGTCGTGGGGGGAGCCTGGGTTCCGGCTGGAGCCCCAGCTTCCCGTCCAGCCCCCACGGAGCAGGAAGCAGGGCTGGGGAGGCCAGCTCAGGCCTTCCTGCCCCCTCCCCCCAGAGAGGCCTGGGAGCTGGGTCAGCTGGAAGGAGTGGGGAGAGCAAGGGTGGGGGAGGGGGGATGAGAGAGAAAGCTCCTTCTGCCCTCAACCTCATGATAGGTGTCTTTTGTGTTTATGTAAAGTTGAACGGGTTCAGGACACGTGTGTGTGTGTGTGTGTGTGTGTGTGTGTGTGCGCGCGCGCGCGCGCGCGCGTGTATGCAGGCTTTGTGCAGTGAATTTTGTGTGTCCAGCATTAGGGGTTTCCAACACACCAGCGGGTGCCCGCCGGCTATGCTGAGTATGGACAGGTTCTGTCCAAGTGTGTGCCCCTGGCACGTGTCCCCGCGGTGTGTCTGACTGTGACTGTGTCTGACCAGAAGCTGGTGTGCTCTCTGGGCTCTGCGACATGAGTCTGTGTATAGGAGTGGGTCGTTCCCATGGGACGCATGGTGTCTGATTATTTTCTCAGCCTCTTTGCTACTGTTCTCTGTGTAAATTGGTGCCTTCTTCGGTAAGCGTGACTCGAAGTGTGGATGTTTTCTGTGCATGTCTGTGTGTCTGTGAGGGAGGTGTGTTTCTGGGAGCTGTTGCTCTGTTTGCTAGCTGAGCTGTGTTTTCAGTGCGTGGCGGGGGGCAGTTCCTGGGGTTTCTGTGTCTGTGGGCGACTTGTTTCTGGGGAAGGCTTGTGAGTGGTGTGTGCCTCGCTGGTATTCTGAGCACGTTGTGCCTGTGGGGTGTGTCTGAAACACGTTTGCTGTCATCCTCCTCGTGTGTTTGTGTGTGTGTCCATTCAGAGACTGGTGTCCTCAGTTCTAGGAGCAGATGGTGTTTGCATTTTCGTCTCCCCACATGTGGGCTGGTGACTTCGGTGTGTGAGCTGTTGTGTGGGTCTCTTTTTGGCATCACGAGATCTTCGAGGTGTTTTGAGTTTTCAGCTGGGTGGCAGTGTGTTCTGCAGGTCTGCATTTTGTGCTGGTGTTTCCAGGGCAGGAGGGGCATGGTGTGTCCCCAGGGAAGCCACCGGCATCCCAAGCGACACGCCCAGTGGCCTCTGTGCTGAGTGGAGGCTGCGTCTGCGGTGTGTCCCCTTGCCGGCTGGTGCCACGCTGGCTCGGGGCTGGCTGTGGCGGGCGGGCAGGGCAGGGGCTGTGGTGGGCACTGGACCTGTGCCTGGACCTCAGTATAAATATCCCAGCTGCCGGCGGCTGTGTTTACTCGGCCCCAGCCCGGGGGCGGTGGCGGCGGCCCGGCAGGTCCTGGGGGTGGGGGTGACCAGGCCACAGCACAGACACTTCCTTCTGGCCAGACAGGCCACAGCCTCAGTGCCCCCTTCCCGCCCCTTTTCTGGATGGGATTGTGGTGGTGACCCCTCCTCCTGGGCTCCCAGGGGCCACCAGTGACCCTCTGACCTGGACGTCCTCACTGGGCTTCCCAGGGTCTGGGAGACAGAGAAGAGGGGCTAGCCGATGGGGTGAGGGGCAGGCCAGGGGCTGCAGGGAGGGAGATGGGGTGGAGACTCCGGGAGGAAGGCACAGGAATGGTCACCACTGCTCAGAGACCGGTGTGTTGGGATAGGCAGGAGGCAAGCAAGAGGGGTGGCTGAGTTCCTGGGCAGGACTGCCGGGGGAAGAGCGGAGGGCTGAGAAGGGAGGTGGGAAGTGATGGAAGATTGAGGCAGCTAGAGGCACAGAGGCATAAGAGGCAAAGCAGAGGAGGGAGAGAGGGAGAGGGACAGGAGACGCAGGGGGGTCAGATGGGGTGCGGGTGGCAGCCAGCAGGGCTGGTCAGGAGGAGAGACGGGGTGGGGGCCGGATGCCCACGAAGGGGCTCTCCCCCAGCGGGCCCTCCCTCCCTGACTCAGCCTCTCCGTCAGCCCTGACCCGCCTTGGGCCAGGCAGCCCCCCACCCCACCCCAGGGCACCTCCAGGTCGCAGCCGCGGGGGCTGTGTCAGGGGTGTGTCTCCCGCAGTCCCTCTCGACTGGCCCCACCTCTGTCTCCGCGCAGAGGCTCCTGTCTCCGCCATCTGACTAACCCTAATTCTGACTCAGCTGCTGCTGTCTCTCATCACTTTATTATGTAACAAATCTACGTCCCGCAAAGTATATCACAAACAACATTGATGATCCAGTGGCAGCCCGATGAGAGTGGCGCACAGCATGCAGGGGGGATCCCTGCCTTGGAAGAGCTTTCCGGGCCTGCGGGGGCGTGCACAGACTGGCGGCGAACACCGTTCATCCCCCGGCTCTCTGAGGGCACGGTCCTGGGCTTTCCTGGGAGCCAGGGAAGCAGTGCGGGCGGCACGAGCTGCACAGGAGCGATGGTTCTGGTCCAGGCGACGACTTCCATGCCCCCGACACGGTTCCAAGCCCATGTGCAGGGAGAGGCTCCCCTGGAGCTTAGTTGCTGGTATCACCCTTGACAGCCGCCTTTTGCTCGGTCTTCCTGAGGAAGTCCGTGCATCTGTCTGCTCCGGGTAGCCCTGACCTGATGGCTGACATGCAGCCCAGGAGGACGGTCTGCAGGACCTGTGAGGTTCTAGACCTGGGTTTTATTTTCACTTGCTGTGCGGCTTGGAGCAACTCATGTCTCCCTTCTGGCCTCCCCTGACTCACCTACGGAGTGGAGGCAAGTCCCCAGTTCTCTGGGTTGTCTGGAGGATTCCGTGTGGCACCAGGCCCAGCAAAGGACAAGACTGCTCAGGAACCGGAAGCTCCCATATTGAACAGTCTCTCGGTGTGAAATGTCCCTCAGCCTCCAGGCCAGTTCTCACTTTCTGTGTCTGGCTCTATTCCTGTCTGACCCAGAGGGCAGAGCTGAGGCCCAGGGGTCAAAAGCTGTGGCCCCAGGATCTCCCTCTTACTCTGGGCCGTGTGCCTGAGGAAGTGGTTTTGAAGATCCTTCAGGCTTGGCTATGGTGGGGTGCCATCATTCTGTCTCCCAGGAGTGAGGGGTCCCCAGGCCCCACTCTCTGACCCGCGGCCCACAGCCCTCCCCAAGCAGCTGAGCCCTTCTCCGTATGCTTGTCTACTAGGGGAGCAGGAGCCGGGTGTGGGGGCATGGGAAGGCGGGACGCCTGGGTTCCCACAGGCCAGTGGCTGAGTCACCGGGAGGCCATCTGGCTCCCATTAGCCTGGGGCGGCAGGGGGCTCTGTGGGGCGGGCCCTGTGGCCAGCTGGGGGGCAGGGACGCTGGGGCAGGCTGTGTGTGGGATGACTCAGGACCCATGATAACAGCCTGTATGTATTTGGGAAGTGTAAACAAGAGAGGGAGAAGGAGGCGGAAGAAGGGAAGGAAGGAACGTTGTGGCTGGGGAAAGAGAGGGGCTGGTAGGGCTGAGAGGGGAGAGCCCACGTTTCCATGCCCCCTCCCGCCACACCCAAGCCAGCAGACCCATGGCCCTGGTGCTGCCCCTGTGCCCCCCTCCCAAGTCTGGGTCCTGAGGGAGAGGTGACGGCTGGTAGCCAGCCCAGCGAGGCCGCCTTCCTCGGCATTGGCAGCGAGGCCGGTGGGGTGGGGGGATGACAAAGAAACCAGAAAAAGAAAGGCTGAGGGGCAGACAGAGGGCCAGAGGCAGCATGGAGGCCGAGATGGGAGCGGACAGGTGGGAAAAACCAGAGGCCTGGAGGGGGGCTGAAGGAGATAGGAATGAACGGGGAGCAAGGAGGCATGAGCTGCGTCAGCACAGAGGGGGAGAAACGGGCAGAGGCCAGAGTGAAGCCAGGGGCTCACCTGGACCCCACTGGGCATTGATGTCCACTTGGTGGGCACCAGCTACAAAGGGCCTGCTGGCCTCAGTCAAGGGGAGGTGTTCAGCCTGGGCCCTGTCATGGGGACAAAGGCACAGGGACAGGGAAGGGGATGGAGAAAGGCAGAGAGGAAAGACGGGGAGGTGCAGAAAGAGGGAGAGGGATGCACAAAGCAAGAGACAGAAATGCAGGGAGAAAAAGCGAGTGAGCCAGAGAGACAGCGAGAGACCGAGGTGGAGCTGGGCGGGGGGCAAGGTAGGGAACCCCGCACGCAGAGGGGGCAGGGAGTCGGCGGGGATGGCACCAGAGCCAGCAAGGCTGTCCCCTAGATGGAGTCACGGGCGGGGTGGGCGGCCACAGCCATCAGTCTCCATCCAGCTCTGGGCTGGGCGCATCCTCGGGCTCCTCCTCGTCAAAGTACCTCTCCTCCTCATCCCGCGCCACGATGTCCAGGTTGTCGAAGTCGGGGTTGTCGTCCACGGTGCTGCAGGGGGAGGGGGCTGTCAGGGGCTGGCTCTGTGGGCCCGGCCTCGCTGCTTCTCACCCTTCAGAGGAGCTGGGGCTCCCCAGGTCAAAGGCCACATGCTGGCAGCTGTCAGTGGGAGCTGCCCCCCCGGCGGAGAGGGCCAGGCATGGAACCTCTCAGGGCTTCAGACAAAGGGCAACATTTTCCAAAGCAGAGATTTTACACGAAAACTTATGGTTTCTCTCAAAAAGCTGGAAGATGTGGGGATGGGAGGACCCTCATTCCCCAAAGAGTGGTTCTCAAACAGGAAGATCCTGGCCCTCAGGGGACATGTGGGGGCAACTAGAGATGTTTTGGGTTTCTCAAGTGGGGTCTCCTACTGGCACTGAGTGGCTCGACACCAGGGATGCCTCTACTACCACGCATAGGCCGACACTCCACATGAAGAACGATCAGGCCCGAAATGTCAGCAGTGCCGAGAAGTGTCTGCCTTGAGGTGACAAGTGATCCTAAACTGTCGGGAGGACACTTGCAACTGGTGTTCCCCCTACTGGGAACACTCTGAGCCCAGATATTCATGCTGTCCGCCCCGTCCCCCCCACACTCTGCATGTCTTTGCTGAGACATCACCTGCTCAAGAGCCTTTCCTGGCCACCTCGTCCCAACCCCCCCACCCCTAGACGTTGCCTTAATTTTATGGCCCGTAGCACCAGATGCTACATACTTCTTTTGCTTCCTCGTTAGAGTGGGACTCCCGTCAGGGCAAGGAACCCTTTCATTGGCTTTGGTCACTGCTTTGTCCCCAGAGTCTGGACACAGCAGGTGCCCGGCACATGGTGGTTGAATACAGAGGAGGGACCCACTGGCCCCGCTGCCCAGCGGCTGCCCTCCAGGGGGGATGGGCTTTGGTCCCTCTGCAACCCTAATCCTCACGCTAGGCCCAATTTCCTCATGGGCACCTGGCTTTCTGGGGGCTCCCCATGGCCCAGGGACTCTGCACCCTGCTTTGAAAGGTGCAAAGCCAGCTGGAAGGTGGATAGCCAGACTCGCCTCCAGAGCCGAGTGGACCTAGCTCAGGCCAGCGGTGCCCCCCACTCAACTGGTGAGGGTTGGTTTGTCGTGTGTCACTGGGGCTGGGTCTGAAGCCAGGCCCTCGGCTTGCACACCTTCCAGGCCAGACTGCCTCGGCCTTTTATCTCTGATTCTGATACTTCATTCTTCTGTGTCCTTGCCTTCCCAGAGCAGTGGCTGTGTCTCGCCCCGAGGTCACGGTGGGGAGAGCAAGCAGACTGCTGCACGGCCACCACAGACCCCTCCATGATGGCATCAACCCTGCCAGCGGTTACCTATTGCATGGAGGAGGTGTGGGGGCGTGAGGAAGAAGCTGGCATGCCTGGGGAAACCTGGAGGGCTTGGCACGGTGGCATCCTACTGGGCCACCACCACTCACCCAAACAGGAATATGTCAGTTTTTTTTTTGAGCACTGACCATCAGCTCTGCTCAGTCCCTTCTTCAGGTGAGGGGACTGATACTCAGAGATGGACAAAGCTAGTCCAAGGACACACACTCATCTTGGGTTCTTCTGAGACCCTTATGCCATCTGAGCTGGGCTGAAGGCCGTGGGGTGCTGGGCTGGGGGCGGGGCGGGGCAGGGCCGGGGTCACCTGTAGTCAAAGTCCCCGTCCTTGCCGTCTAGGAAGCGCTGGTGCATCCGGCTGGTGAACTCTTCCCGCAGGATCAGCCTCTCTTCTGAGTCTGGTACCCAGGACTCCGAGTCTTTGCTGGGGCTCTGGTCTGTAGGGGCGGACACCACAGCGGGGTCGGGGGGGTGGGTAGGTGTGAGTGGTACACTCGGGGAGGGGCTGAACGCACGGCCACAGAGAGCTGCCTCCTCTGTGCTGGTGGCACTGCGAACACAGTGGTGACCAAGACAACCCTGGCCCTGCCCTCCGGGCCAGATGCCGAACACGCAATGACGATACAGTGCTCTGGAAGTTGGAGAACAGGGTCAGGAGCTGATACCTGGAGGGCGGCGAAGGGAAGGCATTCTTGGCAGAGAGAATGGCATGAGCAGGGGCCTGCAGGAAGCAACTGCTGCATGCCTTTGAGGAGTGGGGGACAGAGATGCTGGAAGGACTGGGAAGAGCCTGGGCACTCAGGGCAGGCAGGGGAGGGATGTGAGGTCTGCTCTTACAGGTCAGGGGTCCAGGCTGGGAGCCCCCTGGTACCGGCCCTCACCTTCCTCATCACTGTCCTCCTCCTCTTCCTCCTCCTCCAGGCAGGCCTCCTCTTCCTCCTGCTGCTGGAGCAGCCGCTGCTGCAGCTCCCGCTCCTGGTAGGACTGGAGCAGGAGGTCAGAGAGCGGGCAGGCAGGGGTGCCGAGGGCGCCTGGCTTGGGCGGCTGGTGGGCTGGGGCGCGGGCACTGAGCTCCTCCTGGGTTAGGTACTGCCCAATGTACTGCTCATACAGCAGTGGGGCCCGGAACCGCATCTGCTCGTCACTGAAGTACTCACCGCCTGCATGGAGACAGGGCGCGCCCGGGCTCAGGGGTCTGGGTGTGGGCTGAGCCTGTCTGGGCACATGCATGTCCACAACTATGCTTGTCGGAAGCCATGCACGCACAAGGGCAAGCGTGGCATGCACACTGAGACAGGTGGGAAAGCACACAGAGACCTGAGGTCACATGGCCACGAGTATGCACGCGTGCATCTGAGTGTGTGTGAGTCATCAGCCCCGGATCTGCACGTGTGCTCCTCTGTGTGTGCACACTCAGCTGTGGCCAACCTGGCCCCACCTATTGCCGTGCCTGGTTACACAGGTGTGCACACCCTCCTGCGTGTGTCTAGGAGTGTCTCCGAGTCAGTGTGCAGGAGGCCATAGGCAGGGGTCCTGCACACCAGAGCCAGGATGCAGATGACGTGTGGCTGTCTGTGTACATAGCTGCATGTGCCAGATAGGGGGGCCCCTGGTAAGCTTCCAGACCCCACATCTCACCTCTCCCCAGAGTGCTCTCCCCTGCAGCCATCCCTCGGGTGGGCTCGGCTTCCCCACCACCCGCTTCCCGTCTCCCCCAGCTGCCTGTTCCTGCAGGTTGCTCTGTCCCTCAGAAAACCATTAAGCCTGCCCAGTCCCTCCCACACACTGGCCCCAGCCCCGCCTTCAGAGCCCAGGGTGAGAATCTGCCCAGAATCTCGGCCTCTGCAGCACTGGGGTCTGTGGCCATCCCTGTCCTGCCCCCTCTCTTACCCATCTCTCTGTTTCTGGTATTTCCCACCATATTTTGTTTCTCTCCCTTTGTTTCCCTGGTTCTGTTTCTATCGCTCTGCCTCCACCCACCTGTTCCTCCTGGGTTCCGTATCTGTCACCTCACCCCCCATTCATTCATCCCTCCTCCCTCCCACCTCCTTCACTCCCTGTCGCTGCACCGCACCCTCTCCATCTCCCTGGCTCTAGGGCCTTTCTTCACGGTAACCAGAATCTTCACTCCCTCTCTGCCTCATTTGCTTTCATCCTTCCACTTTAGTTCTGGTGTCTTTGGTCACAAAGATGCTTATAATGATACTGTGGTCAAGAAGGTATTGTGCCTTTCACAGGCGTGCCTTGTTTCAGAGGGCCTTTGTGTCCCCAGAGTCAGAGAGAGACTCCCCGGGTTTCCTCAGTGCCTCTGTGTATGGTGTGAGAAAGGGAATCTCATTTTCCTGAGGGGTAACCACTGACCACAGGGCTGGGTTCTGTGTCTGCGGCCCACTGACCTGAAATCGCACTTGTGTCATCTACTGAATTCTGACCCTTCTCACTGCTGGTCCCATTCTCTTCCCTGGGTTCCTGTCTGTATCTACCTATCTTGCCTCATGCTTCACATTTCTGTTTCAACCTCCATGTGTCCCTGTCTCAAAACTCATCTCAAGACCTCTGTCCATGTCTCCACTCTTGCATCCTAGTTCCTTACTTCCTCTGCCTCAGTCTCCCTGCCCTCCCAGCCCTCCTGTCCCCACACCTTGGATGAGCTCACGCAGGGCAGCGTAGCGCCGGTTACGCAGGCGGGTACGCAGGGTGCGGGGTCGGGTACTGCCCTGCCGGGCCACCTCGGCACAGTAGAAGTCTGCACGATGGTCGCCGCGCAAGTGGCCAAAGCAGGCCAGGTGCTCCTCGCGGAGGCCCGTGCGGAAGCGCTCCAGGAACACCAGCGGCTTCTCATGGTATAGCTGGCCTAGGATGGCCACCTTCTCCCGCTCGGTGAGGTCAGGCTCGCCCTGCTGCTGGCTGCACACTGGTAGGCGGCTGGCAGCCACAGCACGCAGCATGGCACTCACCGCCGCGTTCTCAGGCCCGGGGGGGTCATCATCCGGGGACCTTGGTGGTCCCTCTGCGGCTTCCACCTTGTCCTGGGGTTTGGGTGGGACCAGCGTCCAGCTCGGCTCTCCCCAATGCCCAGAACCGGGCTGTGTGCAGTCTGTGGGGGGAGGAGAGATGTGTCAGTCCTGGGATGGGAGTGCGAGGAGGTGGAGTGGGTGGAAAAGACTTGTCTTACATTTACTGAGCGCCTACTACATCCTGGGCACTGTTCTAGGTCCCAAAGATACCAGACTAAGCACAAAGTTGACATTTTAGTGGGGGACACAGACCATGAAAAACATAATTATTGAAAACACACAATGTGTTAGCAAATGTACAATCTGTTGGGTGGTTCCAAGAGTTTTGTAGAAAAATGAAGAGGGAGGGAGGCGAGAATGGGGTCAGTGGGGGGCAGGCTGCAATTTAATTAAATTTATTTATTTGAGATAAAGCGGTGAGGGGCAGATGGGGAGGGAGACAGGGAGAAAGAATCTGAAGGAGACTCGGTGCAGAGCACAAGCCAGATACGGAGTTTGATCCCATGATTGCAAGACCATGACATAAGCTGAAATCAAGAGTCAGATGCTTAACTGACAGCCACTCAGATGCCCCAGGCTGCAATTTTAAATGGGACAGTCAGAGAAGACCTTGCCAAAAAAGTGACATTTCGGTAGAGACCTGAGGTAGTGAGGGACTGAGCTGTGACATTTTGGGGGGAAGAGAGTTCTATGGAAAAGGGAATAGCCAGAGCAAAGGCCCTGAGGCAGGAGCATGCTTGGTATATTTACTTGGTTCTTTACCTCATTCACTGACTCACACAATTCTTTGCCTTTTCATTTATTCACAAAATCACTAACACATCCACTAAACTGTTCATTCCCTCTCTTTCTATCCTACTCATTCACACACTCACCCAACCATTCTTCAGCAACTCTAAACGTGTGCGAGGCCCCAGCTGGGCTGCGCTGAGGATCCACGGGAGCAAGCGAGCCAGCCCAACGCCTGCCCTCAGAGAATAGCCAGGGTGATGGGGGAGCCAGGACAGTCAAAGACAACACGGGAGGTAGTAACAGGCAAGCTGCGTGCCAGGCAAACCTTGTTGAGAGCTGTCTCTCAAAAGGTGTGGTTAAGTGGAGCGAGGCTGAGCAGGCAGGAAATAAAAGAAGACAGAAAGTACACGCAAGTCCTTTGGGCAGCTTGGCTGGGACAGGGAAGAGGGAGGGGGTGAGGGTTGTAATCACTGAGACCAGAGAAGACTGAGTTGGACCAGGGCAGGGGCTGTGCAGGAGGGCACAGGAAGGGGTGGTGGTTAGAAAGATGTTCAGGAGGCTGAGGAGACAAGCCATGGGGCTTTGGGCTGGGAGACAAGGGATGCATCCAGTTCAGGTCTGGGGACTAGTGAGATTGTCCTTGAGACAGTCATGGAAAAGGAGCAGATCTGGGGGTGGGGGGAAATGCTGAGGCCAGTTTGGGACACGGAAGGTAGGTTGGGCCCAAGGGATATCCACAGGGAGCATCTAAAAGACTCCAGGTCTGTGGGGCTGGAGACTTCTCGGGAGGAAAGCGCAGGGCTGGGGACAGAGCTACAGAGTCAGCATTGCCAAGACAGGAACCAAAGCCGAAGGAAATGAGAGGTCTTGGCGGGGGGGGCAAGGCGAGTGTGTGAGGGATAAGAAGAGTGGGCTAGGAAAGAGCCCCAACTGGATGGGGAGAAGCCATGCCTATGACAGAGGCCACGATACAAAATCGGCCGCTGAAAGACAGCCACGCTTTAATTCCTGGAGCCTGTGTGGTTGCAAAAAATGGGTCTCTGCAGATGTGAAGTTAGGGATCTTGGGACAGGGGGATTATCTTGGATTGTCCAGGTGGGTCACAATGAGTGTCCATAACAGAGAGTCCAACGGAGACTGGACATACACAGAAGAGAAGGCCACGGGAGTGATGTGGCCACAAGCAAAGAACATCAGGAGCCACCAGAAGCTGGAAGAGCCTCTGAGGGAGCCTCCACGGTCCTGCTACCACCCTGATTTCAGCCTTGTGGTACCAATTTCAGACCTCTGGACTTCAAAACTGTGAGAGAATAAATTTCTCTTGTTTTAAGCCCCCCAGCTTGTTGTCATCTGCTGCAGCAGCCATAGAAAACTGACAGAGACTGAGCAGGAGGAGCCTGAGAGAGAGGAAGGGAAAGGGAAGAGTGGTGTCACAGAAACCCAGGGGGTGCGCTTGGGTGGCTCAGTAGGTTAAGTGTCCCGCTCTTGGTTTCAGCTCAGGTCATGATTTCATGGCACTTGGAATGGAGCCTGGAGTCGGGTTATGGGCTCCTTTATCAATGGGGAGTTTGCTTGAAGATTCTCTCCCTCTGTTCCTCCCCCCACTCTCTCCTTTCTCTCTAAAATAAATAAATCTTAAAAAAAAAAAAAAAAGAAAAAAGAAGGTAAGGGACAACTTTCAAGAAGGTTGGAGGGGTCAATGGCATTGAATTCTCCAAGGAGCCTAGTAAGAGAAAAGCTGAATGGGGTGACTCCATTTAACTACAGGGGGGAGAGGCCACTGGCAATCTTGATCAGAGAAGTTTCTGGAGGTAAAAGCCGGACTGCAAATTGGTGGGAGGTGAAGAAAGGGAGGCAGGTGTGCATGACAATTTGGAGAAGATACCTGACATGGAACCAAGAGATAGATTTTCTTTTTATTTTATCTTATTTTTAAAAAGATTTTATTTATTCATTTGACAGAGATCACAAGCAGGCACAGAGGTAGGAAGAGAGAGAGGAAGGAAAGCAGGCTCCCTGCTGAGCAGAGAGCCGGATGTGGGGCTCGATCCCAGGACCCTGAGATCATGACCTGAGCCAAAGGTAGAGGCTTAACCCACTGAGCCACCCAGGCGCCCCAGAATTTCTTTTTAGATTAAAACAGTTTTTTAAATGGAAAATTTCCAACATGCACAGATTTAGAGAATAGGATGAAATGCCCACCCCACCCCATATACCACCATCCAGCTTCAACAATGACCAATTCTTGGCCAGGGACGTTTCAGCCAGCCTCCCAACCACACCTCGCCCCTCCTGGGACGACTCTGAAGCAGCGGGATGAAATTTCAAGAGAAGCTAAAAATGATAGCGTTTTAGATACTGATGGGAAGGCATCGGGAGAAATAAAGAGACTGAAAATGCAAAGGAGAGAGATGGAGGAAGCACAGAAACGGATTAAGGACTCGAGGAGGCCGATGGCACTGTGGCCTTTTGGGGAAAGGGGAATGAGAATGAAATGGGGGAGCTGTAAATCTGGACTAGGCAGAGTTTGCGTGGGACAGGAGGAAGGTCAGCCTTGGGCAAGGGAAGGGTCAGTGCCATGCAGGGGGGTAACTGAGAAGCAGGGTTGACCGAGACTCAGACGGGACAGGGCGCAGGTTTCTGGTGACCTAAGAGTTAGGCCTGTCACTGGGGAAAGGCTGGCCTAGAACTTGGAGGGGCCTAATTTAGGGCGAGGAGACGGGGTAAAGGACTGCAGCTCGCAACAAGAGAGGCATTAATCTGGACAAAGTGGCAAAGTGGGCTGGTAAACCCGAGGGCTGCTGTGTCCCCCTGTAAAGAGTCCTCCTGATCGCCCACGGGGAATCATTTCCCAAAGACACCGCAGCCCCACCCTCCCACCGCCTCTGCGCGGCCAGGACCTCACCTTCATCGGGTTCCCTGGCCGCCGCTGCGGTCGCCACGGCCTCCATCCTGATTCCTAATTAGTTAGCCCCAGCGGTAGGCTCCGCACGCTGATCCCGGCCCCAGGCCCTGAGCGGCCACTTCCGGCTGGGCACACTCTGTGGGACCCCGTGCTCCGCCAAGCCCGAAACAACAGTTCCGGGGTGAAGGCGGACCTTCCTATGCGCATGCGTGTCCTCCTCAGGTCCCGCCCCCTCGCCGCCGCCACCGCGAACGAAAAGGGCGTCGGGGTCAGAGGCTCTTCCTCGCCCCCCACCCCGCGCCCACCTGACCTGCCAAGAAATTGAACTTTCAGGAGGATCTGAACCATTGTTCAACCTGTTCACTGCTGGGACTCAGAGTCTGGCATGCTTACCTCTGGGATGGATAGCTGAATGGTTGATGGGCACCGACCAGAGCCTTTTGAGGGTTTGTGCTCTGGTTTAAACTCCAATCCATTCCCTTTTCTTTCACCACCTCAAAGAATATCTACTAAGCTTTGTTTCTTGCTTCTGTGATCAAAACCAGTCCCCGGCTAGCATGAGATGGGTGGTGAGATAAGATAGAATTTCCCACTGTGTTCCAGGACCCTAAGAATTTGCAGATGTGGAGGGATACAACCCTGGTACCAATCCGCTCTAGGTGATGGGTAGTGACTCACTCAGATGTTACCAACAAAGTGGACAGACATATCACAAGCGACCACCCTGAGTGGCCTCGACTCTGATGGGGTAGTCTGTCCACCCCAGCCTAGGTCAGGGAAGGTTTCCTTTTAGGAGGACAGGACACCCAAGCTGAGACCTAAAAGATGAGCAGGAATTAAAGAGGAAGGTTTCAGGCAGCAGGGCAAGGCAAAGACCCAGAGGGGAAGGCAGGCATGGATATTTCTGGCTACTGCAAGGACTTTGGTGTGGTCAGGGAATAAAAATGTTCTAACTTGGAAGGCCACTGTTGGGCTGCAAAGGATTTGAGAACCTCTTGAATATTAGTGCAAAATTCCACGTGCATGTGCACTTTCTGAAGCAGAGTTGATGGCATTTGGATTGAGATTTGTGACTCCCCCAGAACAAACCACCGATCTGAAGTTCAAAGAGGGAGCAGCAGAAGATGAAGCCAGAGAGGTCACCAGGGGTCAGGCACACAGGGCCTCATAAGCCACACTAAGTAGCTTGAGTTTCTTTATCCTTCGGGTAGCAGGCGGGAGTGGGGAAAGCATGAAGGTAAGGGGCCGGAAGTAATGGAGATCTGTGAGGATCTGGTGCAATGATCCAGACACTGTGGACCAGAGCAGAGAAATAACTTCCCATTTGCATTGCTGGAATAAGGGACCTAGAGGCCTATTTGCCACAGCCCATAGGTGGTAACTACATTTAAGACAGATTACTCAGAGAGGCCAGCAGAGGGTGCTGTTGCCCAACACGTGCACCAGCAAGGGGACTTTCCAGAGAGATGGAGGCCCTTCCCCTGTGCTCTGAGTGCAGAGGGAGGCACTCTAGGGTCCCATTTAGCCTAACTAGCCACCAATTTTGGCTCCATCTCACATTCAGATGCCTCATTCCTGATCTCAAAACTAGCCAGCCTTCCTCCTCCTCTTGCAGCCTGTGTTCCATTCATGAGGCTCTGAGGTACTTCCTGTAAGGGATGGGGCTCAGCTGGCACTCCTGCGCCCCAGCATGATCCTTTACAAGGGGCCGGGAACACCACATATGGGGGAGAGGGCACTAGGCTATAAGGAGATGCAGACACAAAGTCTTTTAACTTGGCTACTTAAAAAATTGTTCCCTTCTCCAGGAAGACCTCCCCTTACCACAGTCCCTACCCTCAGGCTTTCACAGCTGACCATGTGGTGTCACCATCTGAGGACAAGTCCGTGTTACCTCTGGACTGGGAGACCCATGAAACAGAGCTCCGGCCTGCCCTGACCATGCTGTATCCCCAGCACTGTCCAGAGAGAGTGAGGCACAGAACAAGTATGTACCACATGGTGGCTGGATAAAGCAGTTCCTGGAATCCCCACTAGCCTGGATCCAGGAGTGCAGGAAGGACCCGTCCTAAGGCCAGCACCCAAAGCCAGGACCGAGGTGGATGGTCCCCATGATGACCCCCAACAGTCCAGCCTGGTCTCCACCCCATCAGGCCCATCTCACTCTCTGCCCAGGGACCTACCATACCTTCTAGTCGCAAATTCCTGGAGATTTGGGGCTGTGAGTGGACCAGAAAGAGCAGGGACCAGAGAACTACTTTAAAATGAACTAGTGGATTTTATACTGAGAGTCCCAGGTTTAAGGGGGGCATCCCCAGCACCAAAAACAGGGCCAGGCAAGACAAAACCCTCAGTAAGTGTTTAATGGATGAGTAAATAACGTCCCCTTTGAAAAGGTCCCACCCCAATTAAAGGCCAACTGCAGTAACACTTCAGGGTTTCAACCCTGCTTCCTTCCTGCTAGGAGGTGCCATGTCATTTATTGAAAGAAAACAAAACAAAGCAAACACATTTCTTAATAAGTGCAGTTTGTTAAAATCCTGTTAAAACATATGGGTCAGCGGGGAGTAAAAATAATCAGAGGATCATTGTAGGAAAAAACCTTTAGGTCTGGCACCTGGAAGACCTCTGGAGAGGAGGCGGTGGGAGAAATTTCATGTTCTGAAGGGAAGGAGCCCCCCCCAACCTCCCCTTCTTCCCTCTCGCCCGCTTAATCCCACCAGAAACTACCAAGACGCCTGGAATAAAAGGTTTCAAGTTCAATAGTCACACTCTCTCCAAATACAAAAAGCAGTTACAATTCAACTCAACACAGAAGCTTGTGTGCAAGGTTACGGGAAACTGAGACATCGTATAAAAAGTTGGGTTAAAGATGATTCTGTGGTTCTGTTTTGTGTGTGTTTTGTTTTGAGGCTGTGGCTCTTCCTCCGTCACCTGAACTCAGCAAAGAAATGGTTATCCTGATGAAATATCAACAGCCACAGTAAAAACAGAGAAATTCTAAAAATTTAAAAAAAAGAAAGAAAAAAAAAAGCATAATTACCAAAAAATATCTGTCACTGCTTCCTCCCTCCGCATTTTGCTTTTTAAACTTATGGGTTTTTGTGTTGTTGTTTTTTTTTAAGTTTTTGATTTTTTTTTTTAAATCCTTAAAAGTAGACAGTAAAACAGCTCCTGGAAGAATGTACAACCAACTGCAAGAGGGTCTGGGAAGCTGAGGGGCTGGAGCAGGGCTGGGAGAGGTGGGCAAAAGGGGCCCTCCCTCAGCCACTGTAGCCTCACTGTATGACCAAGAGGCAGGGGAGAGGTCTTTAGTCAAAAAGGAGGCATGAAGGAGAAAGAAGAGGAAGAGGAGGAGGAAGAAGGTAAGGGGACAAACAGAAAATAAAAGATCATTGTTGCCTGTTTGAATCCAGAAAAAAATGCCCGGCCCTGTGTTGGGGAAGAAGCCCCTCAGAGCGGAGGCAATGGGCTGAAAGGAGGCAGCCCTGGGATGACCCGTCCCCCAGCACCACAGGACCCAGTGTGGGTAGATGAGGGGGCCGAGGTGGGCGCTGGTGGAGGAAGCCGGCAGGGGCCTCCAGAGCACACTGGCTACTGTGTGCTTGTGCCTCCCTGTGTGTTCCCGGAGTAGCTCCCGTAGTCGTAGTTCCCGTAGTACGGTGGCCACTGGCCCTGGTTCTGATAGTACTGGTTCCACTGCTGGGCATACTGGAGAGAGAAACCAAGAGCACCATGTTGTCCTTACCCAGACCCACATTTGGCTCCTGTCTCGAACCTACTCTCAACCCAGGGGAGAGATGAATGCACTGACAATAGCCAACACATGGGTCCCCTGGAGAGATCAAGGTCCCCTGGGAGGGTAAGTGACTGACCTGATGTCCCATAGGTGGGGAGTCAGGGACTGAAGCCCAGACCTCCTGGCTTGCCAACCTAATGTCCTTTCAGGTATAGGCAGATACCATATTCAAAACACTGAACAACAGGTGGGAGGGCCTAGCACCAGCCAAGGGGCATGGACACTGGCCATGGTGCTGAAGCAGGATTCAGAGGCCCCTGCTATGCCATTTGCTGGCTTCAGCGAGGAGAAGAGGCTCAAATACCAGCCGCTGAGCAGCCAGTGCAGAGCGTTCACTAAATGGAATGGCTACATCAGGTGGATGCCAGCCTGAGACCAGCCCATCTCTGTAGTATGAATAAAGAGGGACCCCAGTCTCAGAATACACATCCATGCGGGTCCCCTGGAAGTCTCTTTATGTGCACCCTCCCTCTGCTGCCCCACCCCGAGTCTGGCACCTACCTGCTGATACTGGTTGTAGCTGGGCTGAGGGTAGGTCTGTGCAGTGGGGGGCGGCGGTGGGGTGTAGGGAGCTGGGTTGTAGCCGCCATAGCTCCCATAGTTGTAGGCAGGCGGTGGTGGTGGTGGCGGTGGTGGGGCTGTGTAGCCCTGGCTGTAACCTCCTTGGTTGTAGGGTGGCTGGCTGTAACTCGGCTGGAAAGTTGGGGGAAAAACCAGGGTTCAGCTGGGATGGAGGAAGGGCCTTCATAAGCTGTGCACCACAAAGGAACTTCCCTGGGGGAGGTTGTTTGCGGGCTGAGGAAATGGGTCAGTTCTGTGACATGGTAGGACAGGGAAGGAGGCAGGGTTGTGTTTGTTCTGGACTCTACTCCCAGCTCTAAGATTCTGGGGGAGCAGGGCACACAGCCTCTCTTCAAATTCTACTGCTATTTTCCCTCCCATAAGATGAGAATTACAACAGAACTAGCCCTTCTGATTGCCCTGCATCTTTGGGAAGCTTGAGCACACAAGCCACCAGGCACTCCCTAAATGGTGGTTGTTCTGGGACGGTAGTTGTTTTGGGAAGGTCTGCTGAGAACAGTAGTAGCAATTTCCCAAGTGCTTCCACATGCAGACTGGATCATTAATCCCTCTAATGCCCCCATCAACCCTGTGAGGCAGGTTCCACTAGCCTCATTTTATAGAGCAGGAATCTGAAGCTCAGAGAGGTGAAATTAGTGGACCCAAGTCACACAGTAAAAAGTGGTGGAGCTAGGACTTGACCTCTGGTCTGTCTAGTTCCAGAGTCTTACCCACAAAGCTAAAATACCACCCATCCCTCATAGCAAACCTTGCAAATGAGTTCTACCAACAACTCCATAGTCTTTTATAAAGAAAACGAGGTGCAGAGAGGTGCCACTGTTTGTGCAAGGTTATAGAACCCAGACATTGTGGGGTTGGGGTTTGAATCTGTGCCTACCCATCCTGTTCTAGGAAACATTCTGGTTAGACCAGGACTGGGAGTCATTCATCTGTCTCTTGGCAACTGTCCCCAGTTCCTGGCATGTGGAAGGCACTCAGGAAACGGCTGTGGACTACTCTGGCTAACAGCGCCTGTGCATTCCAGAGCCCAAGCACCGGCTTTTGAAGAACTGGAACTGAGCCAGGAGCTGCTCCAGAGTGAAGCTCTCAGGACATGGGGCAAGACCTCCCAAGCTCAGGGCGTGGCTCCTTACGCTGCCAGTCTAGGCAAAAGGAACTCCAATCAGGTGCTTTCTTGGGGATTCAGGAGAGCCCAGCGACAGCGACTTAAGCAATAAACACACAAACACATGACTGTGAGGGGATGGGAGAACAGGTAGGTTCCCGATTTATCTGGGTCTGAAAGGAACACCTAAGGTCCACTGCAGTCAAAAGCACTGCCAGGAAGAAGGGCAGGGTTGGAGGAAAGAGTAGAGAGGTGTGGCCAGGATGCCCACTGCCCATTCCCCCCGGCCCACCTCCTCTGGCCTGTGGACGCACACGAGCCTTCTCTCACCTGTGGAGGGCTGTAGCTGCTGACAGTGGGGGTGCTGGTATTGGCGCTTGAGCCGGGGATGTTGCTATTCTTGCTGTAGCTGCTGGCCCCCGGAGGGTTCCGAGCAGGGCTATAGCTGGGTGGTGGTGGCGGCTGCTGGGGCGGGGGCTGTGGCGGCGGCGGCTGCTGAGGTGGCGGCTGCTGCTGGGGAGCCCGGTTGTAGCTGCCTCGGTTGTTGGAGTTGTTGTTATCCCGGCTGTTGCTACCCCAGCGGTTCTGGTTGTAGCCACCACCTCCGCTGCGGTTGAAGCCTGCACCGGAGAAGCCAGGGGAGAGGCCCTGTCACTCTGAACTGGCGACTCTCAGGAGCGGGGCTCTACTCTGGGTCTCCCCAGATCCCCAGGCACGTCCCCTGTGCGGCCCTGATAACTCAGTCATCATTGTCTGCTGACAGGCTTGTCCTGCCCACGGGACTGTGAGCTTGGGACCAGGGCTGCTTGGTTCCTACTGTGTCCCCAGCATCCCAACAGCTGCTGCACAAATTGGAAGAGGTGGTTAGGAAGAGGGCAGAACAGTCCTCCTCACGCTTGGTCAAACGGGTCAGTCCCCCCTGAGCCCTTGAGCAGCTATGGCTGGGCCCAGAACCCTGCCCCCTGACAACTCCCACTGGTCTCTGGACCTCAGCCTAGACACTGGTGTCTCGGGAGGCCTTTCCTTTAGTCTGCTCCCTCCCAGCCTGGATCAGGTGTCACCAAGCTCACGCTAACCCAGGGCTTTGCCACTCAGCCCAGAAGCCTTCTGGACAGCCACTACTGTCTGATGTGTCTGTCTGGGTCATGGCTGTGTCCCCAGAACCATCCAGCTCAACACTGAAACTAAGTGAGGCGTGCTAGCTAAATCATGATCATACACTTTGCTTCAGAAACGGCAGAACTTAATAACAGGCCACTTGGTGCTAACTCTAGCTCTGGATTCAGTCAGGCAAATCTTGGGCAAATTAACTTCTCTCAGCCCACTTCTCTACTTGTTTTTTTTTTTCAAAGATTTTATTTAGTTATTTATTTGACAGAGATCACAAGTAGGCAGAGAGGCAGGCAGAGAGAGAGGAGGAAGCAGGCTCCCCGCTGAGCAGAGAGCCCGATGTGGGGCTCGATCCCAGGACCCCAGGATCATGACCTGAGCCAAAGGCAGAGGCTTTAACCCACTGAGACACCCAGGCACCCCCTCTACTTGTTTTAATACCAAACACCAAAAACAGTTCTAACATTTGTCTTGTGCTAGGTCCTGAGCTGGAAACTAAGATGGCAGTAAACTCATTCTGGCCACTCTTAAGCAGCTTACGGTCAGATGGCAGAGAAGATTTGCAAAAATGACACTAGAATGAGCTGCAAAGGGGCATGGGCTTCAGGAGCAATGCCCAGGGGAAGCAGGACAGTGGGGGAGTTCCCCTGAGGGCCTACGATTTGACTCACCACAGTTCTCCGCCAGAACTC